CTTCTTTATCCATTCATCTGTCGATGGACATCTTGGCTCTTTCCACAGTTTGGCTATTGTGGACATTGCTGCTATGAACATCGGGATGCACGTACCCCTTCGGGTCCCTACATTTGTATCTTTGGGGTAAATACCCAGTAGTGCAATTGCTGGATCGTAGGGTAGCTCTATTTTCAACTGTTTGAGGAACCTCCATACTGTTTTCCAGAGTGGCTGCACCAGCTTGCATTCCTACCAACAGTGTAGGAGGGTTCCCCTTTCTCCGCAGCCCCGCCAACATCTGTCGTTTCCTGCCAAGTTAAAAGATTGTTAATTGGGTTGTAAAATGAGACACAGCTACACACTGCTTACAAGAAATCATCAAGGTGCAAATAAGTGAGCCGTGCAATGGGGACACCTGCCATCATAGCACACTAACCAGACGGAGCCTGGAGCGGGCGTGTCTGCTTCGGACAAAGGTTTTGCTGCCATGAATGTTACCAGGGGTGTAAGTGGAAAGGTAACTCATCAGAAACAATGTGACAGTCCTCAGTATCCACGGACCCCATAGCAGAGCTTCAAACAACGGCAAAACCCGATAAAACTGCAAGGAGAACTGGATGAACACACAGCCGATAGCTGCCTTCAGTAACTGTGCTAGGATGAACACACAGTGTCCTCATCAGGCATGTTCAGCATCAGACCGTGGCTCTGGCTGGTCAGTAAGGCAACAAAAGGGGATAAAAGGCATCTGGTTGGAAAGGAAAAAGTCCTCATGCACAGATGACAGGATCCTTCAAGTGGAAAATCCTAAAACCTGCAACGAAGAACCAATTAACTGAGTTTAGGAAACACAGCCGTATACAAGGTTCAGTATTCAAAACCCACTTGTACTCCTGCATGTCAGCAGTGAACACTTGAGAATGAAATCCTGGGGATCCACCAGACAGGAGGTACGTAAGCTCTGTGCACTGAAAACCACAACACGTCACTGGAAATGCCCATGAACGAGAGAGGTGCCGTCCTATAGAGGAGCCGGCGTCGTTCAGTTACCGGCCCTCCCCATGTTGTTCTGCAGTCAGCCCCCATCAAAATACCGAGACTGGGGCCAAAACTGACAAGCTGATTCTAAAATATATATGGAAATACAGAGGACCTAGCGTAGGCAAAACAACTTTGCGAAAGCGAACAGAGCTGGAGGACTTCTACTACCTGATAGCAAAGGATATGACAGAGTTACGGCAGGACCATCCAGCATCGGCACCAAGGTGGAAGCCACGGAGCCCTTGAACACAATACAAAGTCTAGAAAGAGACCACAGATTTATGGTGAGAGGGTTTTTGACAAACGTACTGAGGCAGTGCAGTGGGGAAAGGATCATGCTTTTAATGGAAGGAGCCAGAACAGTCGGATAGCCGTACGCAGGAAAAAAAATTCCTTGTTACTTTATACCATGTACAAAAAGTAACTTGAGATATAAGGCCTAAAATTCCAAAGCTTCTGGAAGAGAGCAGGAGAAAAGTCTGAGGGACCTTGAACGTGGCAAAGATTTCTTTACTAGGACATAAGTAGTTGTAAATCGGACTCTTCAAAATTAAAACCTTTTACTCTTCAACAGGCATCGTTGAGAAAGTAAGAAGGCAAACCACGGCCTGGGAGAAAGAATTCCGAAGTACAAACCTGACGGAGGACGCACAGCCAGAGCACGTGGGGGCTGCTGCTGGGTAGGGGGAGTGGTCCCCTGGAGACGCCCAGGTCCTGCTCCGTGGAGCCTAGGTCTGTGTCACATTGGATGGCAAGAGGGACTTCGCAGACGGATGTGATCAAGACTTAGAGACGAGATGGTGCCGGATTATCCAGGTGGACCCGAACTCATCACACGAGCTCTTGAAACTCCATCATCTTCTCGGCTTTGGTCGGGCAGAGTGGTCTGGACCTGGCAGCGCCGGAGCCAAGATGAGGAGCAGCCTCTAGACGCCGCGAAGGACGCGTCGCTCACAGCGGGCAGGAGCCAGACCCCAGACCTGCAAACCCGTGCACGGAACCAGATTCTGCCCCAGAGCCTGCGGGAAGGAAGCAGCCGCGCTGCCCCTCGACCAGCCTGCGAGACCCGGGCCACCCTCCCGGCCACCAGCACCGCGACGAGGTGCATCTGCTGTTTTCAGCCACTGAACGTGTAGCCATTTGTTATGGTAGCGATGGAAAAACTACAGTATCTATAATCTGTGTGTAATGTAGTATCCGTAACAGGCCAGTAGTCCATGTTAGAAGAGGGCCGGAGATTTGAACGGACACTTCCCCAGAGATTTACGGGTGATGGACGGATCTAAGTCCGTGGAAAGATACTGGGCGTTGTTCGTCTGCAGGGACAGGCGCGGGGACCCGGAGCACTGCTCTCGCCAGGACGGCCGAGGGTGAGCCGGCCGGGGTCAGCGAGTGCCTGCGGCAGCGGCCGCTCTCACTGCTGCGGGGAACGCAGACCGGTGCAAGCACGTCGGAGAGCAGTCGGGCAGCTTCTAGAACAGGAATCACACCACCCCCACACGACCTGACCGTGTCACCCTGGCGTGTGCTCGAGAGAAATGAAGACCTGTTTGTCTTCATCAGCTCAACGCAGCTTTATCCACACTGGCCGGAAACTGAAACCAGCCCCGAGGCCCACTGAACAAATTGTGGCATATCCACACGGAGGCAAGTATTTGGCAGCGAAGCAGGGACGTACAGCGTGGGCGAGTCTCAGAGGAATCAGGCTGAGTGACAACCGATACATGCTGGATGCTTCCATTTCCATAAACTTCTGGAAAACACACTGCAGACCGGTGGTTGCCTGGGATGGGGGCGTAGGGGCCCATCTCCCACCCACCCTATGCCTGGACTCCAGGCCCAGTGGGACGTTCTCCGGTCACCTGAGAGGTGCCTGAAGGTGGCACGGGGCTGTGCCGCCTTCAGGGCGCACAGTGACACGCACCCCGCCCCCCCCCGGAGCATCCAGGGGCCCATTGAGGATGGAGGGCTGCCTCCATGTGATGGCCCTTACACATCCTTTCTGCCCTGAATCCCAGAAGGACCAGCGGAAGCTTGATTGCAATGCCCCTTTTATTAAAAATAACTGCACTTAAGATCAAGGGCTTCCCTGGGTCCCGTGAATCCTCCAGAGTTCCCCAGGCCGGCTCTCATGGGACGGGAGGGCAGCCCCACCTGCTGCCGGGGGGCGATGCCCAGAAAGCAATTTGCGGTGGCCAGAGCAGCAGGGCAGCCCGTGACGTGACCTCAGGGTGCAGGCACGGCAGCCTCATCCCGAGCACACCTCCGCCGTCTCCGACAGGCAGCTGGTGGCGGACGACATCACACACATTCCAGTGACAAGCTTCAGAGAGGTAAACCTTCCAGAACAGCCTTTTGCACAAGCAAGGCAACCCTGGGGGCCACAGCTCGTGGGATCCCCGGGTCCCAGGAGGTAGACGCATATGCAGATCTGGGTATTCGAGGGAGGTCGGCGCCATGAGACATGGGGCATGGGCTTCTGGCCCTGAGGCCACCCACACGTCCTGACCAAGAGTTCACAGGTGCTGGGGCCACGGTGAAATCCGTCTCCTCCCGTAAAGGGTCAACACGCCACTGGCCCCGGGTTACGACCAACTGATGAGAAACTGCTCTCCCATCATCAGTGAGACAGGGATGTCCAGGGTCTGGAAAAAAAATACAAAAAACTGACCACCACACAGTTGCCATCAGAGGGGAGGCCCTGAGCGCTCGGCAGACAGGAGCCTGGGCTTGGGTGCGTGGCGCGCTCAGGGCCGGCCCCAGCCCTGCAGGCTTCTCGCTCTGTGCCTCCCTGGCTGAGTCCGGAGGACAAGCGTCCTCTGCATTGACCGCCTCAGCTTTGGAAGCGGGCTGCCATTTAAACACGGCCCACGAGTCACCATCCGTGTAGACGCAGGCGGAGGAAAGATCCAGGGCGCACGGGGCCTGTCCTTCCCCTCCTTCCCTCACCCTTGTAAGACCCGGCTCAGCTGGTACCAGGTCCCCAGGGTCCTTGGCACCTCCCGCCCGCTCGGCCATCCTGGTGGACCAGCCCTCTGGCCCCGTCTATGGGCCCTCTTGCCTTGGTGTCAGGGCTGTAGGTGAAGTTGGAGACAGGGACGCCATTAGAGAGGACCTGGCTGGGGGCCACGGCCAACCCCAGGATGGTCACCTTCCTCAGCTGCAGGCTGGCGCCCTCGCTAGTCACATGCACCAGCTCGTTCACGATGGTGTTCTGGCAGAACGGAGAGACAGAAGCGAGGTGTCAGCGGCCGGTCGGGGTCGGGGGGTCTGGACAGCAGTCGGCACCGTGCCCCTGGGCAAACCCTCAGGACGCTGGCCCACAGACCCTGCTCCCTTAACAAGGCTGACCTGGGGACAGGAGGCCCCACGGTGCCCACCAGTTTGGGCAGGTCCTGGGACTCACATTCCTGGCCAGGAAGATGACCTTCGTGTAGTCCCCGCGCTCTGGCACCCCCAGGCTCTCCCCGTCATCCCAGAATAGCTCCCCTTGGGCCTCCCTGTTTGCGGTCAGGGCTGCGAGCAGGGCCATGGGCTGCTTCCGGGACTCCGTGGTTGTGAGGCCAGGGCCCTGGAAAAGCAGGTGGCACGTGTCACCGTCTCAGGCCTGGCAGAGGCCTCCACAGTCAGGACAGGAAGGACACTGGCCTGGGACAGCTCCACGCTGCCAGAGAGCAGGCTCCACAGGACAGCCTACAGCCGAGGCCTGGGGGGGCCTGTGCTGACCACTCTGGCCAACGCAGACACCCTGGGGGGTGCGAGAGGCCCACAGAGGTTTGCAGACTGCTTCCCAAGAACAGCGCACGAAGCAGGCCTCCCCTCTGCCTGGCACAGCAAGTCAGTTCATCTTCAACCCTCAGACACTGTGCTCTCTGCCTGAGGTTTGGGGATGGACCCTCCCCTGAAGGGGCAGCATGGGGTCCTGGCAGCCCCAGAGCTGGACAGATCGACTCAGGTGCCCCGCCCAGGTTACCTGCAGGGGGATGATGTGTCCAGCCCGGAGGTGGAGGTTGATGGTGTCCAGTGGGGCCGGCAGGGTCACCCACTGCCCCTTGCTGTGGATGGCAGACGTGAAGGGAGCCCGAGGTGGAGGTGGGAGGCTGCCGAAGGCCTCTCCTGGCACCTGCAGGGACATGGCATGTCACCAAGAGTCGGGGCAGTGCCAAAGTGCTGTCACTGGGAGCCTCCGGCTCCATGCAGGGCCCTGGGGTGGGGGGCGGGGGGGGTTAGGAGGCAGAGACCCTGACCCAGGGCTTGGGGCGGGGGCAGAACTCTGGAGTGGGAGAACTGTAGTCCATGGGAGTTACCCACTCGGGCCTCAGTCTCCTCATCTGGAAAATGGGTCACTGCAGGGCCTGGGTGGGAAGATGCATGAGAAGCCCTGGGCAAGGGCCGTCATGCACCCGGGTCTCCAGAAACGGGCTCCCTTCCGCCATGTGGCCCACCCCCGCAGGGCCTGGAGGAGGGACACCTTTGGTCCTCGGGACTCACTGTCTGCAGGTTGTACCATGTGCCAGGAGGGAAGTAGCCAGTCACTTGGACCTTCCCAGCCTCAAGCACGGGGGTGATGAGCACAGCCGCCCCCCACAGGAGCTGGTGGTCCACGGTCCAGGTGCGGGGGTCCTCGGGGAACCTTCCAACAGGAGGGGCGGGCGCCTGGGCTTGGTGACCTCTGAGGTCAGTGCGTTCAGGGGGCCCTCAGGGAAAAGCGCAAGGAGCCAGAGGACGCTGGGCGGGCCACGGCGAGGCGGGACCCAGCCGCTGGAGCTCGGCGTGGGGCGTGGGCAGGCCCTCTCCCCAGCCACACACTCCGGGCCGGGTGCCGTCCATGGCTCCCGCGTGGCAGACTCTTCCTGACCACCGGTCTGCCGCTGGCTAGTCCAGGTCCTACCACCAGTCTGCGTCCTTCGTGTGAGTTTGGGACACTGACCGCCCTAGTTTGTTTGCCTTTATAATTCTGCACTGAGGAAAGTCCTAATATTCTGTTTCTGTTCAGAGGAGTATAACTTATTTTCCTAAATTCAGCCCCGTCCCCCTTGCCTTTTGCTTCTGAGGCTTAAAAAGCGCTCTCCTGCCAGAGCACTGAGGACCATTCGCTTCTGTGTCCCATGGAACTTTCTAGACCTTAGGTTTTGACGTTTAAGTATGTAATCCGCCTGGAACTTAGGTCTCCACAGCACGAGGGGAAAAATGGATTTTTGCAGACAGCTAACAGATCTGTACTATGTGGGGCTCTGGTCTACTGACTGGACGTGACGTTTTATTGCAGGGCAGCTGTTTACATATCTGAGTCCTACCTGGGGGACGTCAGTTGGGGTTCTCCCGAGGTCCTTTCTCCCTGTAAGCCAGCCCCGTGACGGTTTTATAACTTGCTCTACCACCTGGTTGGCCTGCTCTGTACTTGGTGTCCTTCACCCTGGGTTTTCAGGTACCTGGGATGCCCCCAGCCCTGAGCTGCAACCTCACGGGTGGGAAGTGGGGGTGCAAAGGGCCTCCCTTGGCTGCACTGGCCCCCTGATTCCAGGGATGACTCCCCCCGCCCCCCGCAGCAGGATGGGGCCGCCCCGGAGCCGCCAGGCTGGTGGCCAGCCTGTGGGCTCTTGCTCTCCGAGCCCAGGCACTCACTCCAGGAAGAGGGGCCGGGCCACGGTCTCGCCCAGGACGTGGGCCCGGTGGAACAGCAGGTACAGGTAGGGCAGCAAGGCGTAGCGCAGGCTGAGGGCCTTCCGCATGGCTTCCTGCGCGGTCTCGCTGAACCTGTACGGCTCCTGAGGCTGCAGCGGGGGAGAGGGAGAGGGGGCAGCGGGGCGAAGGGGGAAGCACCTGGCCCTCGGGCCGCCGAGGTCCCCCACCTCTGCCCTGGGAGACCCGGCCTGCTGGTACGGACGCCAGGCCGTGCTGCTGCGCCCGCGGAGGGACCCCCAAGGCAGACCCCCACCGGCCCCGCCGGCCCCTACCAGGCTTTTGAGGTCGTTGTGATTCCGCATGAACGGGTAGAACGCCCCCAGCTGGGTCCAGCGGACACACAGTTCCTCCGAGGTGCTGCCCAGGAAGCCACAGACGTCAGCCCCGACCAGTGGCACCCCCAGCAGGTTGAACAGCAGGATTTCTGGGAGGGCAGAGTCAGACTGGGGCTCAGCTCCCCCCCCCCCCCACCGCGACGGTCAGTACCGCGCTGGCCCTGGCGTCTTCCGCCTAGGGCCAGCAGAAGGACCTGCCTCGCAGACCACCTTCTGACACCCGGGGTGGGCAGAGCAGAACAGCCCGTTAGGGTTGACGTGTGTCCCCCCCAAAAGCGATGTTCGAGTCCTAACCGCCTGTGCTTATGAAGTGACCTTATTTGGAAAAAGGGTCTTTGCAGATGCAATTCTGCTGAGGTCACTGGAGGGGATCCTGCCCCAGGATGCCTGGTGGCCGCGTAAGAGGAAGCCCAGACTGTGACGACACACGGGGGAGAAGGTCGAGCGAAGACAGAAGTGGGGGCCGGAAGGACAGCCCCACACTAAGGACACCGAGGGCTGCCGGCCACTCCCAGAAGCTGGGAGACTCGAGGAAGGGCTCCCCGCTCCGACACCACGAGTCCGACTGCAAGCCTCCAGGGCTGGGGGAGACCACGCTTCTGTTGCCGTGAGCACCCCGGGTGAGCAGGTGCATGCGGCAGGGAGGTCGGCGAGCCCGAGCCGCTGAAGGTCCTCGGCCGGCGCCCACCCCACTGCTGCTCAGCAGGACCAGGCTGTGCTGGGCCCTCCCTCTCCTCAGGGTCTCCTCAGGGACTAGCAGCCAACGAGCAGGACCCGACCCAGCCTAGGGCCGCGGGGGACCCTTGCCTGGCTTGCAACAGGTCCCGGGACCTGCATGACCTCTGCCACGGAACGATCAGTGCACGCCAGAGCTACGGCCCGAGACTCCCAAGGTGGGCGTGGAGCCGGGAACCTAGCTCTCGAGGGGGCTTCAGAGGCTGGCCTGCAGGGGCGTGGGCCCTAGTGGGCCGCACCTCCCCCACGGTGAAATCAGAGCCGGTGGCATCTGGGGGCAGAGCTGGACAGCGGCTTCTGGAAGGAGGAATGGTTCCTCCCAGAGCTCGCCCAGGGCTTCCCCATGGCCCGAGGGTCTGCAGATGCATCCCACACGGCAGCAGGCCTGGGGCTACCAGAGAGCTTCCAGGCTGGGGGTCTGGTGGAGGCTCAGCTGCGCGTGGTGACCCCGGGAGGTCACTCCAGCCCCTTCCCCAGAGCTCCTGAGCCGTCTCTGCCTGGCGCACGTCAGCAGCATGCGAGCTCCTGAGAACTAAAGTCACATTCCTCTCTGCAGGTGGGGTGGGCGGCACCTGCGGGCTGGGGGCAGGATGCGCTCACCAGGAGGGACATCATGAGAGGACAGAATGTGACGGCTTTGCAGGCAGCGGCCTGGCCGAATCGGAGATGGGGATGCTTGGAAAGTCCAGCACTGCCCGCCAGAGTGGCAGAGCGCCCCAGGTGAGCTGACCCACACAGGTGAGCCCAGCCATCCGTGGGCCCACGGGCCTCACGCCCCACGTGAGGCAGCAGCGTGTCTCTGAGCCGAGCCGAGCCGAGCCTGGCACTCGGTCTGGGCCCCGCTCCCCTCCGAGCGGCCGCTCCTGACAGGGGCTCTCACCTGGCACGGAGTACGAGAGCTGCTCCCAGCTGCTCCACACATCCCCCGTCCAGTGGCCGGCGTATCGGCCGTGGCCGGCGAAGGTTGAGCGGGAGATCACAAAGGGGCGCGTCCCCCGAGCCCTCACGAGGGCCCTGTGCAGAGCGGGGAGACAGGGCAGTGCACAGCAGGGCTGCCCGGGAGCCCCCGAGTGGCCCCGCGCCGAACTGGGGGTGCAGCAGGGAGGCAGAGCGGGGAGTGAGCAGCCCAAAGGGCCAAGGCCAGGAGGAGGGGGGGGGCTCCACCCGAGCCGCCAGGCCCCGCCCTGCAAGGCGAGCCTGTCCGGGGAGGTCCCTCCAGGCTCCCGCTGGGCCTCCGCGCAGTCACCACCGGCCCCCCTCAGAGGCGCGGGGCAGCCGTGAGCTCGGCCCTCACCTGTGGGAGGCGAGGGCTTCCGTCAGGCCGTACACGTTGTGCAGGTTGTAGTGCGTGGAGAGGAACTGGCGGCTGGAGGCACAGATGGTGGCGGCCCGCAGGGTCCCACCAACCACCCCTGGGAGAGGGAGGCTGTCTCCGTCTGTGGAGCCTCCGCCTGGCCGGCTGGTGCCCCCCACATCCCAGGAGCCCCCTTGGAACTTGGGGTGTCCCCTTTTCCAAGGACAGGGATACGGTGGAGGCTGAGGCCGACCTTTGCAGACCGCAGACTTGACGTCCACCTGCTCCTGACCCGTTTCAAGTCTCTCCCCGTTCCTGTCCCTAAGCCTGGGACACCCTCCCTCTGAAGGGCCCCGCCCGGCCACGGGAGCCCGGTCCGTGTGGCCTGTGACGTCTCGCCAACCCGACCTTCCTCCTGGGGTTGCCCTCCCCTTTCCGGGGTGGCTGTGCCCATCGGCTCCTCAGAAAGGAGAGCTGGCACGTGGGGGCAGGTGGGAGAACTCACCTGGCACGTAGGGCGGGTTCTCCAGGTCATTGTCGGGGCAGCCGTCCACAGAGCCCTTTACGAAGTTGGAGGGCTCGTTCATGTCCTGCAAAAAGAGGCCCTGGTGTTGGGCGCCCTGCCCTGGGCAGATGCTGGGGCCGGTCCCCCAGCCCCCGGGACACTCACGATCCACATGCCGTCGAAGGGCACCTGGGCGTGGAACTCAGACACCATGTCCTGCCACCAGTCCAGGGCCTCGGGGCTGGTGAAGTCGGGGAAGGCGGTGAATCCGGGCCACACCTGCAGCAAAGGCCAGAGGGGAGACCAGGGCCCCCCCACCAGAGCTACGGCCTTGCTCGTCTGCCTGGGGGTGGAAAGTCTGTGGAGGTGAGGGTCGGCGGCGGTAGGGGCGTGGGGGGAACACGCCTGAGATCTCACTTTCAGACAGAGGCCCCGGAAGCGAGTCGCGGACACCTGCACCCCTGGCAGCCTCCCCGGCCTCCCCTCAGCTGGGACCCCCTTCCCCTTGGCTGCGGGCACGCCCTGGAATGGGAAGTTGGGGACTCTGCCGGGTGCCCCCGTGGGAAGGCCCGGGAAGCCCCCGGGGGGCCGGAGGACACAGAGACGTTTGCTAAGGGTCAGCAGAGCTCGTGCCTGGGCTGGGCCAAGCTGCCCGCAAAGTCAAGGGCCCCCGATGGAAGGATTCGCGGTGGTATCAGGAGCCCCCGTCACTTCTAGCCGTGACCACCCCCCTCCCCCTGCCCTACACAACAGGATGGTTTTTTTAATCCCATCCTCTTTCTGAACAGCGAGCGCCCTGTGGCCACTGGCTGGGGACTCCCGCTTTCTCAGCCTGTGCCGCCCGGCCCCCACCCTACCTTCCCAATCAGAGGCTGCCCGGTCTCGTTGGTGATGAAAACCCTCCTCCGCAGACCCTCGTCATAGGGACGGTAGCTGCCGGGGGGGCTGGAGCTGCTGATGGCGGGGTCCTGAGTGGGGTGTGGGGGGAACCAGTCAGGAGGAGAAGGAAACGCTCCAAAGCCAGGCACCGATTACAGGGGCAGTGAGAAAGTGCTCTCGATACATCGTTGGGAAGAACAAAGCCAGGAGGGAGCGCGCATGCGTGCACACGCACACGTCTGCTGAGAGACCAGCCCGCGGGGCCCCTGGATGCACGTTCTGGCTCTGCTTTACGGGTTCTAGAGTTTCACAAATGGTCTACGGTGAACCCTGATTTCTTTCAGAATAAAAGAAGGTCTGCATCTGCCCTCCCTGCCCTGAGTGGCCACGGATGCTGGCTGCGCTCTGAGGGGCCGAGCTGAGGGAAATGGCCCGCGTCAGCATGATTCTGACCTCCGGGCAGACCAGATTCCTCCACTGTGGGGTGTCCGCCGTGCAGCCCCTCAGCCTCAGCGCCCCTTCCCCAACTCCTCTGGCCAGGTGGCTAGGCACTCAGCCCGGCCGCACCGGCACTCTGGCTGCAGGGACTGGCCCCGGGGGACTGTGGCCGCTCGGAGCCCAGCCCTGAGCCTGGCCCTCCTTCCCGTGAGGCAGAACTGAGTGCGGGAGAGGCTGGGCCACGAGACACTCAGAGCCTCCATGGCTCCAGCTGCCCGGGCATGCAGCTCTACCCCGGCCGTCCCAGTACTGAGGGACGGGAGCCGAGCGCAAACCCTCTGCTTGAAGCCGTTCATGTAACCTACAACCAAAGGGATCCCGAGCGACAGATGTTTCCAGGGACCCTCAGGCTGGACATCCCCGGACAGCAGGGACCCAGTCTGTACGTCTGATGTTCCCTCAACAGCCAAGACCCTCAGGAAACGTCCCCAGTGACCACAGCAAGCACGAGGCAGCTGAGGCACTGGGTCTCTTCCCCGCCCAGAAAGGCAGCCCCACGCGGCATGGGGCAGGAGGGCCACTCACCACGATCATCACGTACCGCCGGCCGTCCTGGTGGAGATCCTGCACCATGGCCGGGAAGTCCCTGAAACCGTCCTTGTTGAAGGTGAAGTCCCTCTTGGCGTCCATGTAGTCCAGGTCATTCCACTGCGTGTCCTGCAGCCAGCACGGGGAACGCTGCAGCCGGCCTGGGGGCCTGCGTCCCAGCCCAGCCCCCCAGCACGCCCTCCCGGCACTCACCAGGGGGAAGCGGGCCCTGGTCATGTTCTCTACCACCTGGCGGGTGATGGTGGTGGAGGAGTAGCCCCAGCGGCAGAGGTGGAAGCCCAGGCCCCAGTACGGCGGCATGAACGGGTAGCCTGCAGCCGGGGAGGGGGGCTCCGTGAGCAGGCCGGCAGCAGCCGGAGGGGAGGAGGGACGGGACGGGGGAGGGGAGGGGCGGCACGGGGCCAGAGAACAGGCCTACCCACGACTTCCAGGTACTGCTGCACCACGCTCTTGGGCTCAGGGCCCAGGAAGATGTACATGTCCAGGATCCCACCTGTCGACCTCCAGCTGAGGGCCGGGCTCGGCTGCAGGACCACATCTGGGGGAAGCAGCCCTTGGGGCTCAGGAACAAATACCCATGCCCCCTTCCCCCGACCCCTGCCCCCGTGGCACCTTGAAGAAGGGCCACATCCCACCCAGGGAAGCTGGGAGCAGCCTGCTTAGGGCCTGGGGACAGTTCCCCCGAGCCAGACTGCTTGAAGAGCCTGGAGCAGAACAGACCGCAGGACCCCCCTTGCTGGCCTCTGCTCAGAGCAGGGGTCCCAGAGCGCTCTTCGGGGTACCCAAGGACAGAGCTGGCAGAGGCCACAGCCCACTGGACTCATTTCTGGGCAGTGCAAACAAGGCCCGGCACCCTGCCCATGGCCCCATCCTCTACCGCTAGCCTGTCCCGACAGGTGCAGACAGCCCCGCGCTCCCCCCACAGAGGGGGTGCGGCCAGCCCCAGGGAAGCCGCTGGCCGGGGGGCTCAGAGGGAGCGCCGGCTACAGGACACGGGGACCAGGGTGTGTGCTAGGGGTGGTTGCCCGCCTGCTTACCCATGGCGTTGCTGTTCAGCAGGAAGACCCCGTGAGCTGACCCGCCGTCCTCCAGCACCAGGTAGAAAGGATGCGACCCATACAGGTTCACGTTGGGCTGGGCATGTGGACACAGCACGTTAGCGCCCTCACCCACGTGGTGTGTCTAATCCCCTCCTCGCTGCCCCCTTTACCGAGGGGGCGATGTCCCGGTTCCAGAGGGTGATCTTGGTCCAGTTGGTGCTGAGCATCAGGGAGCCGAGATGCTCGGCAAGGCCCGTGATGTGCTGTGATGGCAGGGAGGTGGACAGCTGCAGAAACTGGTCGGCGAAGAACAGGGGGGCCACCGTCGTGTTCAGCCTGCCGGGAAGAGCCCAGGCAGCCTTGCGACCTAGGCAGCCAGATGACCCCGAGATGGACCCTCCCAGAGAGACCCCTGGTGGCCCCTGAGGAGGGCTGGAGTGGCCTGGCCACCTCTGTGACACAATGACCCCAGGACAGAAGCAGCCACTGGAGGCCCAGTGACCCTTGGGACCTGACCCAGGTGTGGAGAGCTCCCACAGCACTACCTGGCTATGCCCACACTGCCCCAGGTGGGCATCCAGCAGGGGACTGCCCCATAAGCCCTGGCCACAAGCAGGTGCCGGGCAAGGGCTGCTCGAACCCTTCCAGTCCTAGGAGTTGTGGCCCCGAGCCCTTTCTGCAAGGGCCAAACTGCTCCCAGACCCCAGCCATGACCTTCCCCAGAGCCATGGAACTGTGTCCACCCAGGGGTGGCCAGGACCCCCTGAGGATGCACAGGGTCAGGGCGAGGAAAGACCTACTAATACCGATTTCACGGAATGACGTCCCACTGCACCCTGCCTGCCCCTGGGCAAGACTTATCTGTGTGTTTTCAAGACCAAAGTCTGATTAAATGCCTCAGAAAACTTCTCTCCGATCTCTGCTCAAAGGTCAGCTTCCTAGAGAGGCCTTCTGTAGCCCCTCACTCCAGAGGCAGCCCTGCCCTCCGCATCTGCACAGCTCCTTTCTAGAACTTTGTTAGCATTGTGACTCCTGACATTGTACTTGGCTTCACTCACTGCCTCTTCCCACTGTGTCAGCCCTGGGGGCAGCTCCATACTGCTCGGCCAAGAATGGGCAGAAAAGAAACGCATTTCAGGAGGTGAGTTCTCCTAAGATTAATGCAAGCTCATTTCCGAATATGTAACTTAGTCTAGTGACAAAGAGGAACCTTGTCAGCCCAAGGCACATATTTATGTGGGACTGTGTGGACAAAGCACACAGGGTGCGTCCTGTGAAAATGTGCTTGCATAATCCACCGTCAGGACAGACGGGGGGGGGGGCATCAGCAGAAGCGCTGCCCCGGCCCATGGCTCTGGGAGGGAACATGTCCAACACTGGGAATCACGGCTACCACTTTGGATTCCAGGATGCTTTGGTGCATCCAATTCCCAGGGTGTGATGGGGGCGGTGGAGGTGATGCATCCCCTGGAGGCGAGGGCATGACCAACCGAGGCCCTCACCCTTGCTACCCATCCATGAGCGTCGGCTGTGGGTCGGAACCTCGTTAGGAGCTGGAGGCCCAGGAGTGAGCTTCCAGAATGGGAAAGGCTCCTTGGCGGGCAGACAGCAGCAACGATTTGGACAAACCTAAGATCTCAGGGGGACACAAGTCCCAGGGGGACGTGAAACAGAGTGGCCAACAGCATGGATGCCGGGCCCTGCCTCAGAAGCTGCCAGCAAGCCGCCTCAGTCTCCCCGTCCGGACAGTGGGGATGGTAACAGCACTACTTCTGAGCCGTCCGGGTGCCGGATGTGCCTAAGTGACACGCGGTAAGTGACGATCAATAACACACACGTGAACGTAAAGCGGTGAGGGGACGTTGCCTGCGGTGGGGGTGCCGTTTCTCACCGGACCGAGGTTTCTCAGCCTTGGCACTTTTGGCATTGGGGTGGGAGTGCTCTGCTTGGTGGAGCCATTGCCAAAGGTCCCCTGGAGGACGGCTCCCCCAGCAGGCCCTACCTGGGGGGCGTGAGGAGGGCATCTGCAGGGAGTTGCTGAGGGACCTGAATGAGGTGAGGGAGGGCTCCAGGCAGAGGCAGCAGTGAAGAGCCCCAAGGGAGGGTGGGGAGACGGTGCCCTGGCACCCCCACCTAGGGTGGGGGCACAGAGACCAGCACTCACAGCACCCGGCCGTCCAGCTTCCGGTGCACGACCACCCCAAAAGGCTCTTCCTGGAACTCCACGCTGTAGAGTGTGGACGAGGCCCGGCTGAGGACACGCGGAGTCTCCAGGGGCACCTCGTAGCGCCTGTTGGCGGGATCCTTGATCTAGGAGTCACATGGTGGTGCCATGAGGCTCTCTGGGGGCCAGCACACCTCCCCCTCCTTCCTCACCCCCCCGAGTCCGTGTGGCCATACACAGCATGTGAGCACCGACAGTGTGGTCAACCAAGCCTCCGTTCCCTCACGTCCAGATCCCCATGTGGGTCGCCAGGGAAGACACACAACACCCAGTCAATCTGAATTCCAGATAAACAACTCTTCCCAGTGTGTCTCAGATATCGCATGAGACATACACTAAAAAAAAATCCATTCCTTGGTTTTCTGGAATTCAAAGTTACTGAGTGCATCCTGCATTTTTATTTGCTGAGTCTGGCAACACTGTTCCACCCAGCGTGCCCGTCACAGGGTGGCTGAGAGATTAGATTAGAGCACCCAGCTCAGCTCTGCCTGCTACGCAGTGATCACTCAGTAAATGTTGGCTGTTAGCAATTACTTTGTTAAAATTATTATGGATTGTGTGCTTCAGGCTCTCTCGGCTTGGCCTCCTCACGTTCAGTCCCTGGGTTTCTGCTGGGCAACTGATATGTGCCAGACTATGTTCCAGGGGCTGGGAATCAGCACGGAGTAAATCAGACAAGAGGCCCTGCCCTCAGGCGCATGGACGATCATCATATTCCACTGCCCACTGCCCGAAACATTCCCCCCAACCTCCCTGTCCACCTCTCCCCTTGCTGACTCTGTCCTGTAGGACTTCAGGTCCCTGGTGGGATGTCACTTACTGGGGGAGACCTGACCTCCCTCCACTGTACCCTGAGCCCTGCTCTCTAGAGCATGTTCTAGAACCTTCTAATCAGTGTCTTACTGGCCACTGCTCCCTGAGTGTAGGCACTCTGTGCTCACTCCTGGACTCCAGGTGAAGACACACAGCACATTTGCACACCAAACCAACACTTCATCCGCGGCCCACCCACGTTTTCTCTGCCCCCGTCTGGCCCTGCCCACCGTGAAGTGAAGCCGGCTCTCCGTCTCCAGCAGCACGTCCAGCCGTAAGGTCAGGATGTCCTTGGGGAAGAAGGTTGGGGTGTTGCGGGTCAGGGTGGCCGTGTAGCCTGTCTCTGTGGTGGTCAGGTTCTCCAGCTTGTAACTCGGGTAGCTGGGTGGGAAGAAGCACCAGGGCTGCCCCATCCGGGGGACCCGAGGCCACTGCCTTGCAGGCCGGTAGCAACAGCCCCGGGCCTCACACTGCTCTTGGGTGATGGCCTTGTCGGGGGCACAGTCGAAGCGGCTGTTGGGGGGCACATCGCACTGTGTGGGTGCTGCTCGGGGACTGCCGTGGTGCCCCGGGGTGGGCTGGGGGCCTGGGCCACTGGATCCCTGCTGGCGAGCACGATAAAGCTCCTCAGGTACTTGGGAGAAGCCACGCTGCTCTTGGGGGAGCACCAAATCACGGAGCAGGACGTGCCCCAGGAAGGCGGCGCTGGCCAGGGAGATAAAGGTGCAGACCCCCAGCAGGGGGCGGGAGCGGGAGCTGGGAGGCCACCTCACGTCCATGGTCGCTGGCACCAGCTGGCAGCCGGCCAGGTCCTGGAGGCCTGCCGAGAGAGGAGCAGGGCTCAGCAAGGAAGGCGGGACAGAGTGGCCGGGCGGGGGGGGGGTTCAGGAGGCTCTCACAGCTTCCAGCCGTGGACCTGTGGCTGGCCCGGCAGTGCCCAGGGTGCGGTGTGCCGAGAGCATGAGGCAGGAGAGGATGGACAAGCTCCCGGCACTGTTGAGAAAGACAGCAAGGGAAGGGAAAAGGGAAAGCCGAGGGAAGCCCCAAATAGGGAGTTTCGGAATACCCTGTACTGTGAGAGCTTACAAACGAAAATGCGTTTAAAATGTGCATAAAATGATTTAAAGACATGCAAAGACCTACGTGGGAGGCTGACAAGTGGAATAAACAAGTCCCAACACGCAGAGCAGAGAGGGAGCCCTGCTTCTTTCTGCAGAGACTGTGGCTGAGTCACTCCGTTTTGGCAAATGAGCTGGAAGTGGAAGGGCCCTCGGGGAGACCCACCACTTTCTCTCCGCCCCTCTTCTGCTGCCCCGGGTGTACAGCCCAGTAAGAAGTCTTGGGCACGGCAGCAGCCGAGGGCCACACTCCCGGGACAGCCCCCAGGCCCCAGCAGGTGGAAGGCGCTCCCTGCCCCTGCGGTTAGGGGCGGAGCAGCCCCTCTCTCTGGCTCCTCCGGAGCTAAGTCTGTTACTACCTGCATTTTGCTTCTCTGTACGTTCTAAATATTTTATAACGAACACTGTTGGCCCAGCTCCTCCGAGGAGCAAGATACCAAAAAGACCAAACGGGCAAGGATTTAGTTAGGGGCGTCCTTTCTCTCCGAGAGAAAATGGGGAGGTTGCCAGGGAAGGGTGGGAGAGCTGTCACCCCCCCAGGCAAGATCTGACCTCAGGGAAGTCAGGAGCCGAGGGGAGGGGTGGTTGGGGCCTTGCATCCCGGATTGCCTGCCGTGTAGGCTAAGGAAGGTTCTGCAAGGCCACGGGTCTGGCAGGAGGACCCGAGCCAAAGCTGGCCATTAGCGGGGTCGACGTCTCGCAGAGGTGGCCTGCCCTAGTGTCGTGGGCTGGGAAGCAGGCTGGCCCCGGAGTGGATGCGTGCAAGCTCCGTGTGGCGGGAGGCCTGGGGGACGCTTGCACCCTCGGGCCGCCAGAAACATGCAAGGACTGGGGAAAGTCACGTGCTAGCAGAAGTCACTGAGGGCCCGAGGGAGTGTGAGCCTGTCACACACTCAAACCAGGCCCTTGGGACATTTCTGGCCACAGTGGGCCACTGCTGGATTGGGTGCACGAGTGAACTTTTATTCACAAACGTGCGTTTTTCCCTCACGCCAACCAACTGTCCCATTCTCCCCATGGCCAGCTGGGGGCCCAACGATTCACTCCAACCCTGACACGAATCCCGGAGTCGGCGCAGACCCCACAGGTGAGGCCCCAGCCCCACAGGACGGTCCCCCTTCAGACCCCAGGCACAAGCCCCACGTTGTCACTTGCACTTCTGACCAAATAACTGGCTCTAAATTTGAAGGTTCGCCCCCCTCCCCCACCCACCTCCAGTTTGATGATTGGCTAGCACACTCAGGAAAGAGCTTTACTTACTGTTACCCATTTATTGTAAAAGATGCGGCTCAGGAACAGCCAGAGGACGTGGGATGGACGTGGGATGGGGGGCTGCGTGGGTGCGGAGCCTCCACACCCTCTCTGGGCAGGCCACCCACCTTCCCACACTGAAACGTGTTCACCAGCTCAGAGGCTGTCCAAACCCCAACTAGTTTTGGTTTCATAACCTAAGCACAACCGAGTAAATCACTGGCCATTGGCGATTATCAATCACCAGCCCTCTGTGCTCCCCAGAGGTTGGGGGTGGGGGAGGTGGGGCCGACAGTTCCCACCCCAGAATCCCGCCTCCTGCTTCTGGGGACTAGGCCCCACCCCGAGGCTTGTCCAGAGGCCCTAGCCACCAGCCATTCTATTAGCATATAAAAGACACTACCACTGCCAAGATTCCCGGGGTCTTAGGAGCTGTGTGCCAGGACCTGGGGACAAAGACTATATATATTTTTTATACCCGTGTCCCAGCTGCACCTGCCCCCATCCAGACACACGTGACACCCTGTGATCACGGGGAGGCAGGGCCTAGGGAACTCACCCTTGGGAGCTCTTGGGCAGTGCCCGTGGCCCTCCCCACCCAAGGTTCAGGAGCGCAGGGGTGGCCAGGGGTGCCGCAGGGCCAGCACCGGTCCCCTGCCGCTGTGTCCACTCTGCACAGGGAAGAGACCCCAGAAACGGGAAGGGCTGTCAACCAGAGGGCTTGACAATTTAGACAAAATGGGGAAAAACACAGAAGGTCAGGAGGTCAAGTGGCGCTGCGGGCCGGGAGGGCCTGTGACCTCCCTTTCAGGGAAGTGGCTCCGAGCCGCTGCTTACCAGCCCCCCCCGCCCCGGCAAGGGTGGTGGTGTAGACAAGCCGGGTTCAAAGTCCAGCTGTGCCCTGACCAGAGAGGCAGGGTCCTTACCCTGTGCCTCAGTTTCCTCCCCAGAATGGGGCCAGGCAGCCTCCGTCGCCCAGCACCGAGGGCGTGGATGAGACCGTGGAGTCCCCGGGGTCCCCGTCGTTAACCGCTGCCCGCCGCCCGGGGACCCTGGCACGACGCGCTCAGCTTCTCCACTAGCAAACCACAGAGAATAAACCCCGTCGATCGATCGGTCCCTCCCCCTTAGGGAGTCACGGCTGCCCCGACCGCCTAGCCCCTAGTCGGAGCGGGCGCCGCAGGCCGTCCCCGCCCCGCCCCGCCCCGCCCTTCACTGGGACCCCCACAGGCCCCCGCCCCGTCCGCTCACCTCCGCGCACGCGCGCCCGGCCTGGGCCCCGCCCGCTCACCTCCGCGCACGCGCACCCAGCCCGCCTCCCTCTCCGACCCCCACTCCCCGCCGCGTTAGTCTCCGCGCACGCGCGCCCGGTCCGGCCCACCCCCCCCCCACCCCGCCCCTCCCCTCCTCACAGCTAGCCTCCGCGCACGCGCTCCGGCCCGCAGCGGCCGCCCGGCGCCAGGCGCTGGCAAGCACGCGCCAGAGGGGGCGGGGCGGACCGGGTGACAGGCCGCCCGCACAGGCGCCCTGGGCGAGGGTGTGCGTCTCCGGCCGTGCGCGCCCCCTGCTGGCGGGGCTTCACCGTCCCCGCGGGCCGCCCAGGCCCGGAGCCTGGGAGGAGGGCGAGCGGCGCGCACCTGCCGGGACGCGCGGGCAGGGCAGGGACTGGGCGCCGGCCTTGGGGCCTCCCCGACGGGGACCGCGGGCTCGCTCACTCCGTAGCCCGTCAGCCGAAGCCGCTCGGGAAGGGAAAGCGTCTTCGTACCCCGAAAAGCGGCGGCCGTGCGACGTGACCTGGCGCTTCGAGGGGCGCCTGCAGCCGCGAGGGTGCGGCGCGGGCGGGGCCCGTTTCTGACGCGCTGGCGGATAAAGACGCGTTTCTGCCGCATTCAGAAAAAATTTTATTTTTCTGCTGAAAAGTTTGAAAGTGAAATGGTTTTGTAGGCCCTTTCCCAGGATGGCGCGGAGAAGCCGCCAGGTGGCAGGTGCTCAGGACCGCCCCAGGGGATCACACGAGGGCTGAGAACGGCGCGGGGACAGCTGGGGAGGTGGTGCGTCCTCGGGGCGCCGGGCACCTCCCCGCTCTCCATCGGGCCCTCCTCCGGGACACCGCACACCGGACTCTGAAGCAGGACCGGGGCATAAGGAGGCGGCACCGTGGTCCCCTCTGGTCACTCTCAGGGAGGAGGCGGGCGCCTTCCCAAACCCCGAGCAAGTCCAGCGTGGGGGGGAAGACTCCCCGAAATGCCACCGGAATCGCTGGGAGTCGACTTGGTTGGAACGGGCGGGGGCTGAAAGAATCCGGATCTGCCGTGCGGGCCTCCCTGTTTCTCTAAACGGGCATCACTCTCTGAGGGTGCACGCGGCTTGATACACCGCATTCTGGTCTCTTCGACGGGGGGAAGGGGGGGAGGAGCCGGCCGTGGGAGGGGTGGGTCCAGGCTGCTCTCTAGGGGGACTCAGACGGCTGGAGCTTGCTGGCGACGGTCTGGCTGACCTTGAGCAGGGCCTCCTGGAACTGGGGGTACTCGTCCTTCACGTGGTCGAGGATGGCGCTGATGACCGCCAGCCGGTTGTTCAGGCGCCTGTGCTCGGCCAGCAGCGACTGCTTGGAGCGGAACAGGAACACGTACCTCCCGTCCTTCACAGCCTGGAGGTGCTTGACCCGCGTCTGCAGGGCCACCAGCTCCGAGAGGTTCTTGGGTGGGACAAAAGACCCTGCATGAGGTTATGCAGTTTGAAACAGGACACCTACTGCTCCTACACAAACTCAGGACTGGAGGAAGTGCCAGGGGGAGAAGAGGCTGATGCGCAGGGAGCTGGGCCTTTTCCTTTGCCCATTGTCTGAGAGACATTCGATAAGGCTGGGTGCCGGTCCCACAGGGGACACTTCCCTGCGCTCCCTCCCCCATCTCTGCTGCTCAGGCTCGGACCCTGCAGACCCACTTGGCCCCACTCTCCTGCTCACACCACATCCAGTCTAGCAGGAAATCCCACTGGAGCAGCTGAAATTACGTGCAGAGTCCCACAGCTTCTCACTATAGCCTCGTGGCTACAGCCCCGGTTCGTGCATCGCCTCAAGTAGGCTTCCCTTGTCTACCCCTGACCCTTCAACATCAGAACCGGAGTGATCCTCCTAAATCTGAGCCACGCCTCGGCCCCAAACCCTCCGCTGTCTGCCCACACCCCTGAGAAGAGCCCAAAGTCAAGATCACCACCGCCCCCTGGCCGTGCAGAGCATGGGGTGTGGTCTCTCGGCCCTCAGGTCCAGCCTGCTGGCCTCTGGCTGCCCCTAGAGTGGTCTCCTGACCTGCTTTACCCAGCCAGCTCACTCCCTTGCTGCCTTCAAGTCTGGACTCAAATGTTTTCTCGAACTACCCTACTTAATCCCACCCCCCCCCCCCCATGCCCTTTCTCTGCTTTATTTTCTCCGGAGTATTTATCACCATCTAACACGAGCTGTCTTTTTCATTCATTTTGTTTATCATGTGTCCCTCTGTCCCCCCTCAGGAGGCCTGCTCTGTAGCCTTAGCACCCAGGGCAGTGCCTGGCCCATAAAAGATGTGCGATATTATTAGATCATTAGGGCATGTGAGGTGAGCGAGTGATCACAGAGCGATGGGCAGTGCTGGGATCCCTGGGCTTAACTGGGGCTGGAGGAGGCCTTGCCCGAGGGCGCACTGCTGCTGTGAGGGGCAGGCTCCATGCCTGGCTGCTTGTGGCCCTGGTGCCTCAGGGCCCTGGCCTACCTGTTTCTTGAGGGTCAAGAGCCGGTGCAGGTCGGCCTCGAGCTCGTCGATGCTGGACTGCACTGTTGACAGCTCTTCCTGCTTCTCCAAGAGGGAGCTGCTCAGGTTTTTCTGAGTTTTCTCCAGTTCCAAGATGGCTTTGGTGCACTCCTCGGTGGCCTGGGAGATAGATGGGACCATCCTGGGACCCTGCCTCCTGGTTACTTAGTGGGCAGAGTCAGGCCAGAAGGACAGAATCTGGGGAGGATCTCCACGAGGGCAGAGGGAGTCTCTGCCCCTCAGGAACCAGGACCTGGAGGGGTGAGTCCCAGTGAGACGCCAGGGCCCAGGTAAGCCCACACTGCAGGCTGCTCCCCAAAGGCAGGCGTGGCTGGGAGAGAGAAATGGGGGTCCCCCTCTTGAAGCAGGTCTGTCTGCAAGGGCACAGGGACGAGGGGCGGCTGGGCAGCTACATGCCAAGAGTGGGAGCAGGAGATGCCTGGGGCAGGAGCTGAGGCCTCGCGGGACGGGGGGGTGTTCGGGGTGGGAGTGGAGGAGGCCTGGCTCCGTCACAGTGAGGTTGGGCAGCGGGGCTGGTGGGGAAGCAGCTGGTGGGGTCCAGTGGATAAATGAAGTAGAGGTGACCGAGTGACTCTCGGGGTCTAGCTGGGGACACGGGAGAATTTGGGATGTGCAAAGGGCCAGTCTGCGCACAGACGCTGGCAGTCTTGCTGGGTGTGGCACATGGGGGGAGTGCATGGCAGGAGGACTTAGATGCAGCGCACCTGGAGCTGGAGCTGAGCGGGGGTCGGGGATGGCAGGGCAGAGGTGGCAGCTGGGGAGCCCCGGGGTGGAGAGAAATGGACATCAAGAGTGACCGGCGTGGCAGAGAGGATCGGCCAACAAGGACCAAGAAAAGGCCATTCTGCTGCCCCCAGTAACTTCCAAATGAGCAGTTGGGTCAAGCCTGTCATTTTCAGTTAATCTCTCCCTGTACAGGACTTAGACCTTCAGAGGCTATGCCAACAGTCTCCATGTAATCCTTTGGACAGCTCCACGAGGTGAGTACCCATTTCACAGGTCAGGAAGCTGAAGCACAGAGCTGCCAGGCAACATTCCTGAGCCTCGAGCGGAACAGATTGTCTGGAGCCCAGTGGGGCTCCGAGACCAGGTTCTGTCTCAAGTGAGCCTTCGCCTACCCGGGAGGGCATTACTGCTCATATTTCCACCTGGCAGAGGCGGAAATGCGGGCTTAGAAAGGTCCCACATACGCCCAAGGTAGCGGGGGGCTGAGGGAGTCTGAGCCAGAGCCCGGTGACGGCCGAGGGAGTGGGTGCTGGGCAGGGCACACGCCACGTGCTTGCTGATATGGCCTGGTGCACGAGGATGTGGACCCTCCGAGTGCCCATCAGCCTGTCCCCAGCACCCAGTCGGGGTCAGAGACACAGGGACTCACACGTGAGCCATGGTTCAACACGCCGTGCATCCCTGATGCCATTTCTGTGAGGCGGTAAGGCACTGAAATCTGGCCATCTTGGCCCTGGGTGGCACTGCTCTGTGTAGCTCTTCTGTTAAACCCAAGACAGACTCCCAAAGAAAGGGCCTGTCGTAGCCCGGCCCCCCTCAAGGGCCCAGTGACAGCCACTGCATTTTTACCCAGAACCGGCACGTGGGTCATGGGGCTCAGGCCCAGAGGGTACAGGGGACAGCTGGCTTGTCTGGTTCCAGAGCCAGGCTCCTTCCACCCACAGCCCCCCACTGCCACTTCTCAGCCTGGTAAAACAGCCCCACACAGCAGCCCTGACTCCAGCTCTGGGAATGGGGGCAGGAGAAGGGGCAGTGCTGAGCAACAGGCTGGAAGGACAGTGTGACCAGGTCCACGGCATGCTCCCCCCTTGTCGCAAGGCCCCCACCTTGCGAATGTCCCTGATCTTGCGTTGCAGCTCTGTCTGCTGGTGGTGGAAGTCCGTCCGGGTGAGCAATTTCTTGTCCATCTTGGACTGCCCCTTGGCCTGAGTCGAGATGGTCTCTCTGCGGGCGACGGCCAGCTCCATGTCACGGATCATCTTCTCCTGCTGCTTCAGCAGCTGCCCGTGCCTGACCTGGGTACACAGGGCAGAGGGGCCGTGAGGGAGAGTGGCCAGCGCCATCTCTACTACCTCCGCGGAGACCTGACGCGGCAGGGAGACAGCGAGGGGAGCGTGCCCGAGGACAGAGGGATCTGGAGCCATTGCCCGCCGGTCAGAATGATTTGAAGGTCCATGTAAAGAATGCACAAACGGGGAAACTAGAAACTGTCAGAGGCCAGGGTAGGTTAGCAGACCAAGGACCGCCACATGCAGCCTGGGCAGGATTCTGGGGCAGAAAAGAGACAGTAGCCAAGAGAACAGGGACACCTGTACCAACGTTGATTTCTCAGTCGTGGTTTTGGAAGATGGTGACGGGAAGGGTCTGTGGGACCAGGGCCGGGGCCCTGGTTGTCAAGGAGACTGACTGTAAGGGCCACATGAGGGCTTTCTCGAGTGCTAGGAGTGTCCTGTCTTGGTCGTGGGGGCAGAGATGTGGGCCCGGGCTACACCCATCCAGCCAGACATTGAAAATAAGTACATCTCCTTGTGTGTATGTTCTGCTCCAGTGAGTCTGATTCAGAATAAAAAAGGATAAACAGGCAGGACCCCGCAGGTCAAGATGGTGGTGGGAGACCTAGCCCAGCCAGGTTTAAAGTCTGCGGTGGCGGGAGCCCAGGATGGGAAAGGCACAGATGGGTTGGGGGGGCTGTTGTCAGCGCCACGTTGGCTCAGCGAGCGAGCACAGATTATCTGGGGATGCCAGCACGACTCACGCCCCAGCCGAGAGAACAGGGATGGGCCCCTGCTTCACGCCATGTCCAAAAATTAATTCCAGGTGGATTCAAGATCTAAAGGCGTGCAAACATGTGCAGAGAACTTGGGAACGTATTTGTGTCACTTCAAGCTGTGGTGACCGTCTTGAGCAATCCGGGAAACCCAGAAGCCATGCAGAGAGACAGACGGGCCTTACAGCATGAACAGTAACGACCCCATGAGTGGGGAGAGACCCAGCGCAGAGAGCGCGAAGGCCGGCTGCCCAAGAGGGAGAACGGGTGGGAGAGGTGTCCAAGGCAGGGCTTAGGAACCGTGACATGCAAAAACTCCCTAAAACTGCCAAGAAATAAGAAAATGGAAATAGGAAATTGAGGAAGTGACACACACACACACACACACACACACACACACACACACACACACGCTCAATACCCCGTAACAGAAAACGTGGAAGTATGAAGCTTCTAGAAGAAAACATAAGAGAAAAATCTTTGTGACCTTGGGCCGGGGAGAGATCCCTCAGATGCACCACCGGAATGACGCATGGAGAACAGAGCTGGACCTCACCAACGTGATGAGTCTCAGATGTGTTACGGGGTGTGAGAAAAGCCGCACTCACAATAATAATTCATGCTACAGGGTCTGCTTCTGTGACATCCTGGGAGAGTTGGGGATGGGGACGTGGGAAGCGGAGCACAGGAGGCACAGGGGACTCAAAGGTGATGGAGATTTTGGGTATCACAAAGGGGTGGTTACGTAGTTGTATGTTTTTGTCACAGCTCATGAGACTGTGCCACCAAGAGCGAGCTCAGTTAAACACCTCAATTTAAAAATGAAGGCTCTTGGGCCAATGACACCCAGAGGTGCCCAGGCTGTTGGGACACGGCCGTCCTCGAGCGCCTCTTGGAGAAGTGATCTGTGGGGCTCTGGTCAAGAATGTACACTCCTCCGCCCTGTAACCCCACTTTTGGGGATCTAACCTACAGAATACAAACAAACCAACCCCAGTAGGGAAGGATATTATGGCAAGCATGAGGAACTGGGACAATATGGATTCTCATCACCCGGGAATGCTCCGAGAAGATAGGATATATCCGTAGAATGTTCTGTAACTGTTAAAACTGGGCTAATATCCATATTGTTTTTTTAAAAAATAAGTTGCTGAGCTATACGTACAGATGCTATTTTTGTGAAGGAAAGGAAGCAGCAGGGAGTCGTGGGTGGAGGGATGGCCACACCCGTGTGCTCGTGCGCGAGTGCGGGGGGGGGGGGGGGGGGGTCTGACCTGCTGCGGCCAGCACACATGGCTTCTGTGGTTTGAAAAGTCAATTAAGTGGAGTGTTTTAAAGACTTATCAGTAGCATATGCATTTGATCAGAATTCCTCTGAACTCCATAGACAGAGGGGTCCTGATTAAAAGCGGCATTGTGGAAGTGATGCCCGCCTGCTTTTACTACCTGCTCTTACCATATCCTAAGGCTCAAAGAGAGCTTTGATTTAATTACCAGCCTTTTTTTGAGGTAATGAAATCCAGCTCAGGATGACGGTGGAGAGAAAGCGAGGCTCCCAGGGAAAAGACGGGCATGTTCTTTGAGCACATTTTACCGGGTGAGACACCTTTCCTCGACAGTGGGGTGTTTCTCCCCAGTGGGTCATGAGATTCGGGGGTCCCCACCAGCCCTCAGAGTCGTCAGAGTGCGCTGACTGATTGGGGCAGGGGTAAAACAGTGTCTCGTGAAACACCGCGCACATGGCTGTGTGTGTCTTGTGTCTGTGATCCTGTGAACCCAAGTGGACGGACCCTGGACGGGAGGTCGGCAACAGAACAGCCCGTAGTGCTTGTGCTCCAAGTGCCCTTCGCGGGGAATGGTGTCCATGCCACTGGCCAGGGTGGCCCGTGGGGTTCCTGGGGGGCCCACCCCCAGTGAGGCCAAGCCCCCCAGAGCCCCCACCCACCTTCATCCTGTGGATCTCTGCCTTCATGGCTCGGATCTCCGTCTGGCCGGTCTCGGAATCCACCGATGCACGCATCTCTTTTGCCAGCTGGATTTTTTTCTCCCAAAGCATGATCTGGTGTCTTTAAAGGTGGGAGAGGCAGTGTGAGAGCTGGAGAAATTAAGGAGATTTCCTTCTGATGCTTCTGCGAGCTCATGCTGTAAGGACTCGCTCCAAATCGAGACCCACAGTGGACAGCTGGAAGGCAGGTGTGAGCAGAGGCTGAGCGCAGTGAGCTCGGGGCGGCTCAGAGCAGGGGGCCGGGACCTGGGACCCTCTCCCTCTCTCACTTGGCCTGTTTAAATACCCAGGCACTGAGTGAAAGGCTTGACTGTCAGACAGACACAAATTTTCCCATTCTGTGACCTGCGGGTCAACATAAACCCCTGGGCCGAGGTGCTCTCTCAAGTTCCTGCCAGCCCAGCCAACCCAGGGCGAAGGGGGCTGTCCCACCCCAGTCAGTGTTGCCGTCATGGTGTCTCGTGGTGACATCGCGGGCGATAGTTATACTGCGGTGCACACAGCGCCTACACCTGAAACCACCAGAACTCTGCGCATCAATGATACTTCAACTAAAAGGAGAAGTTCCCATAGCAGCAAAGATGGAAGCCAGCGCCCTGGTCTCAGTGTTTCCCGCCCCATGACACCCAGCGTGATGGTGTTGGGAGGTGCCACCTCTGGGAGGTGCCTAGGTCACGAGCTGCAGGCTCATGAATGGGATCTGCGCCCTTAGAAAAGAGACCCCACAGAGCACCCGTGGGGACACAGCGGGAAGCCCGCGACCAGGAAGAGGCCCTCACCCATGCAAGCTGACACCTTGACCTTGACCAGCCTCCACAGCCCTGAGCAATACATTTCTGTGGTTTATAAGCCCCGGCCCCTTCTCTTACAGCCGCCTGCACAGGCAGTGGCCTCAGCGGAGCTGGAAGGTGCCTTGCGCGGGCTCTGACACGGCCATGCGGGGCTGGCTGAGCAGCCACTCCCATTGGAAATGTCGGTCCACAGGAAATATATAAAACTGCTTCAGAGGGCAGCATAGAGAACAACCCCATTTTTGATTAAAAAGCAGGCAGACAAGAAAGATACATATATCGTGGTTTCCGGGTGAAGGGAGGGAATTGGAATTATGTGTGATTTTTCTCATCTACTTTGCACACATTGTTACAGTTTAGAATGCCACAGTTGGGGGTGGTTACTCTCACAGCCAGGCATCACAAAAATAAAATAATTTTTAAAAACTTTATCCTGAAGAAAGCCACTCAAGGGGACGCCTGGGTGGCTCAGTCGGTTGGGCATCTGCCTTTGGCTCAGGTCATGATCTCAGGGTCCTAAGATGGAGCCCCACATCGGGCTCCCTGCTTAGCAGGGAGTGAGTCTCCCTCCCCCTCTGCCTGCCGCTCCCCCTGCTCCTCCACTCGCTCGCTCTGAAATAAACAAACAATATTAAAAAAAAAAAAAAAAAGCTACTCAATTTCCCCCGAAGACTGGGCAGGCAAGGGCAGGTGGCCGGAACCGTGCGGTGACACCTGTTCTTCCCTGGGACCCGCCCCCAGTGTGGGCTCCAGAACTGCTCCCAGGCAGCTGTGGATAGGCGGTGGGTGCCCGTGGGCGTGGGCTGCGCAGGCGCGGTGACAGTGGCGCGGGTGGGGGGCGGGGCACTCACTCCGCCTCCACCAGGTTGTTCAGAGTGGCCGCCTTCTCCTCCTGCAGCTGGTTCAGCTTCTCCTGCATCTCGATGGTCTCCCTCTCCGAGGCCTGCACGGGACGGGGTGCCACCGACCGCCGGGGGACGCGAGGACCCTCACGCGCGCCCTCCCACCGTGTGCTCTCCCTCCCGAGCCCGCGCGTGCCCCGAGTCCTGCGGAGCGCCCGACCTTCAGCGCGCACACGAACTCCTTCTCCATCACCAGGTTGTCCTGCTGCAGCCCCTCGGAGCTGCTCCGGTTCTTGCTTATCAGCACGTTGAGCTTCTTCAGGTCGTTGTCCAGGCCCTTCATGTGGCGCTCGATCTGCTTTTGCTCCTTCTTCTCCTGAGCGATCTTGTCTGCAGCAGAGGGGATGCGGGAGTAGCCACGTTCCCAAAGTAGCCCCCACCCCAGTCAGGGCTCTGCTGGGCTAGAGGGAAAGGGCCTCTTCCTGGCCGCTCGGTTCCCAAAGCCTGGCTCTTTGAGGCAACAGAAAGGACCCCTATGTGGACAGCCAGCAGGTGGGGGGAGGCGGGGGGGGGGCAACCCCTTGCCCTGAGAACAACCTGTGGTGACGTGGCTGGTGCTCAGACACTGGGTCTCCAGGCAAGGCGGGCCCGGCCCCCTACACCACCCCACCCAGCTCAGGGGCAGGGGGGCAGAAAACAACCACCCTAATTTCCAATAGAGGAGTTTGGGCACCCCCGAGGGCAGGCCAGAAAGGCAGCAGGGCCTCTGGGCCTCAGGTGTCCAGGAGGAGTGGGCCCCGGACCACCAGGCAGCATTTCCCATATGGCCTCATGGCCGGGCTGACCTGCATGGATCTCTGGTCAGACCCAGGGGGGACCAGGATGCCTCAGTGGGGGGCCATGGGGGTAGACGGTAGCCAGGAAAGGTGTCCATCTCCCTCCTCCGGGTACCCTGGCACATTAGACGCCCCTGGTTTTTACACCACCTGGGGCAAGACGGGGGCTGGGGAGCCTCTTTTGGGACGGTTTTCTAAGTTCAGCTGGAGAGGAGGAAGGCTTCTCTTCCCAAGGCCCTGAGTTTGAGGCATGAGGTGTCTCCTGCATCCCTGGGAAGCTTCTCTTCCCACAGCCCTGAGTTTGGGGCGAGAGGTGTCCCCTACTCCCTGAGCAGGGGAGTGAGCCCCCAGGAGCTGCGCCTTGCTGCATGTCTGCATTTCCAGCCCAGCTGCCCCGTCCTCGGCAGGACGGTAAACCTTCCGTGCCCCTCTCTTCTGGGAGCACCCTTCAGTCTGGGAACTTAACAAATCCGGTACATTTTCTCGACATTTCCGCCATGCCGGCGACGGGCTGGTGGTCAGGGCAGCGGCTCATGTTTACACAAGGCGCTGTGAGCCTGTGGTTTGCTCTCACGGCCTCGTGCAGGGTAAGCGTGGAGCCCCCTCCCTGGGAGCTGGGCCACAGGAGTCCCTGCAGACGCCGGACGCTTACTTTCTATCCGCAGCTTCTTCTGCTCCAGGATGTGCATCTCCTTCTTGAACATGTCCAGAGACACCAGCTGTTCCTCCTGCTCCTGAGTGGCCTTCACCATCTCTTGCTGCAGGCGGAGCCAGGTCACCTGGGCCTGCGTCACGTTGGTGTTGTGCTCTTCCATCAGCTTGGTCAGCCTTTTGATTTCAAGCTCCAGAGGCCCTACTTCTTCCCCCTAAAAGTGATATTCACCAAAAAGCAAAGCGAGCCTCCTTGTTTTCAAAGGTCTGCTTCCCGGGGGTGCTAAGGAGGGCCGGGACCCCACCTGAGATCATGCATCTGTGCGAGGACTGGGGGGCATTTCCTCGGGGGCACTAAGGGTCCCACCGTATGCCCCCGACCCGCTGTGGGAGATACAGATCTCAGGAGGCCGGTGGCCCCCTCCCCACCATGCCACAGCCTTGTGGGGCCAAGGGCAGGGTTGGCGGGCCTCCGTCCCTCAAAGGGGCTTTGCAAGTTTTCTTTTAGGAGCAGACCGTCACGGGCCAGGGTCTTGACCATTTGGGCCGCAGCTTTGAGAGGGCTCTGTGGTGCTCACGGTCTACCTAAAAGGGTGCCCCAGCTGACCATCTTACTCCTGGACTTGAAGCCCATGGTGGTGCCCCCACGTTAGGGATACCTGGGTAACCTATAGGACTTCAAGCCTCAAACCCATCAGATCGCTCAGAGCAGCGGTCACATCCCACCTGCTGCCTTTGCTTGGCAAGAAAGAAGAACATTTGGTGCCAGGTGAAAGTTATATGGTCAGATTCCAGGGGCCACCAATAAGGCTTTATTGCAAACACCCATTTACTTATCACCTGCCTTTCTGGCCGTGACAGCAGGGGTGAGTAGCTTCGGCAGAGACCGACTGGCCTGAAATCTTTACTATCTGGACCTTGACAGGAGAAGGTTTGCAGGCAGCCCCCGACTTGGGGCATTCTGCACTCCCGCCATGTCACCCATAAAAGGGGCGGGCAAAGGAGTGGCTCTATTCCGTGTGAGTTCATTCTGGAGCATCGCTGAGATGGCCAGGCACGAATACCAACCAGGGGCAACCTCTCCTGGCCTGGAGGTCTTACCCCCAGTTCAGAAACCATCTGCTCCAGCTGCTTATTGAAGAAGTTGATGAGGCCTTGCTTTCTCTCGATCAGGATTGTGCGCCTAGAGATCTCGTTCTCGCTGTTGGTGATGAGGTCATTGACCTTTTTCACTTCCTTGTCGAGCTCGACCAGCGTCTTCTGGTGCATGTCCAGCCTGCAGTTGGTGTTTGTGATGTCCAGGGTGGTCTGAGCAATGTCGCCGTCAATTTTGGAAAGATGTGTCACCTGCATTGGCAAAAGGAAACATGTCTGAACATTCTTTTCCCCTGGGGGGCCCTAAATGAGCTGGCTGGCCTATCATTTCCTTGAGCATCCGCCACAAGGTCCACCTCTCCTTCCTTCTAGTCTTTATACATATCACGCCCCCGCCACTGCCTTCTGCCCAGAACCAAAGACAGGATCACACTCGACACATATGTTTGTAAGGCACTTTTTAAGGAGCTCAATCTTGTCTGCTCCTGTCATTTTCAGTGGCCGTGTAATAGTCCCTTATACTTACAACCTAGGAAGCAAGTTGTGGTGGTTGTCAGCCTTCCTGCTTCCGTCCTGTCCCACAGTTATGACTTCAGTGCCCGGGGGCTGGCCTAGACAGCTGGTATGTTTTGGTGCAGGAAACGGATTCCTTCCTCTCTGGGCTTGCAGTCTATCACCGGTGTGTCTGTTCTAAGTAATGCTGTGGTTCAGCCTGTTCAAGTTCAACCTGTCTCTTTGCCAGGACCATCTGGGATAGCCGGGTCCTCACGGGGGCTCCCACCTTCCTCCTTGCCCCCTGTGCTTGCCGCCTTACGGGGGCTCCTGTTCCTAAGTCTCTTTGTGGCCACCAGATGGACAAGCCAGCCTCCCTGGACTCCCTCAGCTCTGCTCCTCGACTGTTCACTCTTACTGAGATACCCTGGCCTCTCCTGGGACGTCAGTTCTGCTCCAGCACTAACTTGTAGACCCATGGTTGACCCGTGCCTGCCCTCCCTCTGGACCCCAGCTCCAGATCCCAGGGGGTTTCTTGAACAGTTTGGAAAAAGTGCCCCCTTTAAAGAGCTAGACTTGCATCTCTGGGGCAATCATAATGGACACATTTGTGGGACGAAGATTCTTTACTGCCCTCCACTAGCCGTCAGTGGTAGTGTGTGTGCCGCTTGGCAGGGGTCGCTGGGGGCCTGGGGGTCTGGGGGCCCACGGGTGCAGCCTGGCAGAAGGGCCGGCAGGTGACCTCACACACACCATGCTCCTTTTCTTCTCTGGTACTGTGCGGGCCTCTAGTTTTGCTCCCAGCAGGTAGTCTTGCCCCTACTTCCTGGGAAAAGGATGAGCGGGGTCCCCCAGCATCAGACAGGACCTCCCAAGGAGACCCGGCGAGTACAGTCTTGGCTCCAGCCCTGTCTCCCCACTTCCTTGCTATAACCAGGCCCGCAGCAAGCTGTCCTCCTCCCAGGTGTCCGGGAGGGATGGGGCGCCTCAGGCTGCTGGCCAGGGAGACAGCAGCCCCGCCCTCCCGGAAGGACAGGTGAGCCCCCCCAGCTGTGTCAGCTGCGCCTCCTCCTGGCCCGTATCCACCTGCCAACAACGGCCATCAATCGCTGACATGCAGGGGCACGGCCTCTGGCTCCCCAGCCCCTTTGCTGTCATTGTAATGAACGGTTGGATCTAATCCTCCAACACCTGCCAGGTGTCTCGTGCAGGGAGAGAGTAAAGGCAGAGCCAGGATCACGCAGGAGCAGGACTCATGCTCTTGACCGCAGGCTGGGAGGGCCCACGTCCCTTCATCTCCCGCCCGTCGGATGGAAGCTTCCGGTGAGCTGGGGAGCAAGGAGACGTCCGTGTGGTTGGTGCTATGTGCAGGCAGGCCGCGTGGGCCCCTCTCCTCCTGAGCCTTGAGGGGGCGTCCTGGGGCAGGCCGTCTGCTGGGAGGTGCCCTAGGCCTGGTGCAGGCCACGGCGGCCTCCGTGGGGTCCGCACGCGGGCCCACCGAGCCAGGGGACACCAGAGGGGCGGTCACACCACAGGACGAGGCAAAGAAGAAACGACTCAAGGAAGGACACAGGGACCCGTGACCACAGCTCGGAGCAAAGTGAGACCCCCGGGAGAGCAAGAGAGAGCTCTTGTTGGAGGAGGTCCCCGGGCCGGGAACTTTTGACCCTGGGTTTCTGGCCTAGCAGCTTCTCCTCAGAAGTGCGGACACAGATGTATGGCAAGCATGTCCAGAGCAGAGTCGTTGATAATGTTTAAAACCTATAAACACCTTCAAGGGTCTAAGCAGAGAATTTTCAAGCACAATACATACGTTTGTATGATGGTGTCATGCAGAAAGGAAAATGTAGGTTTTTGAGGAATATTTCACAGAAAATGTTATGTTGACTGTGGCCAAAAAGTAAAATAAAGCAGTATCTGCTCAGAAAACCCGTGGGGTCCCACACTTACTCTGTGTCATATTTCAGTAAAGTGAATGAAAATGGATTAGAATAGACCTGAAAACTGATACATAATAAGAGTCCTATGTTGTTTAAGGTGTGTGCACATGTGTGTGTTCACGTGTGTGCTTGCACGAGTGCGTGAGTACATTTGTATGGGTCTGCACGTGTGTGCACATGAGTGTGTGTGCATGTGTGTGTCGGCTCGTGTGTGCATCGGGATGTTTATATGTGTGTGCGGTTGCCTGTGTCTTTGTGTGTGCGCCTGTTTGGTTGCCTGTGTGAGTATGAGCATGTGTGTTTAGAAAAAGTTCCAGAAGGAAATACACCAAAATGTTGGAAGAGGTTATCTCTGGACCGTGGGATTATAGATGTCTCATTTTCCTCTTTATGCCTCTGTATTTCCAGGTTTTCTACAATTAAAAGGCTCGCTTCTACAGCAAGAACCAAGTGGGAAGCGAATAGACTGGCCGAGCGCCCCTGGCTCACCCCATTGGCTCTGAGCGCTGGCGCTGCCACGCCCACCAGCCCCGGCGCCCGGCCCTCGTGGCCGCCGCGGGAGGGTGGCGTACCAGGTTGGTCTTTTCCTTCCGGAGCTTCAGGATGATCTGGTGGAAGTACTTGGTCATCTTGTTGGAGGTCATGTGCTCCTGCAGCTTTTCCAAGATTGAGGCATCCATCCTCCGCCTCAGCTCTAGCTCGTGCCGGATGGTCTGGTGGACCGACTGCAGGTCGCCCGTGGTGGTCGCGTACTCCTGGAAAGGAAGGGGCAGGGACGGCACTGTGGGGGGGGGGGGGGGGGGGGGCGGGGGGGACGTGCCCGGGGTGGGCTTGGGGACACGGTCGTACCACTTGGGCCTTGCCCAGCGTGTCCTCCGTGTCCTGCAGCACCAGCCGGTAGGTGTTGAGCTCGTTCTGCAGAGCCTCCTGCTTGGTCAGGCACTGCGTGGTTAGTTTCTGCATCAGGTTGGCCTCTGTCTCCTCGCGGTTCAGGACGCCGGCCAACTTCTCATTCTTCTCTTCCTCCTTCATGATGGATTTCTTGTAGGCCTCGATCTCCGTGTCGATGGACGTGATCTGGCGCCGGCACTCGCTGTCGGGATCGAAAGAGCAAAGCTGGGGCAGCAGGGTGCCCGTGCATGGGGCTGTGCCCGCTCGTGGGGAGCTCACCCAGTGGAGAGGGACGAATGGGAGCCCAACTCTTACCAGCAGCCAGTCTCAACGACGGCTTCCTGACATAGTCACAGAACCCCTGCCCACTTTGAGTCCGAGCCTAAGACTCTTCTAAGACAGAGAGTAAGGGAGAAGGGCCAGCCGGGCCAGGCATTGTCCCAGGGACGGATCCACCCACGCTTGCTGGTCAGGGGAGCAATCCCAGAAAGGGAGTGTGCTATTCCAGTTTCATACGCGTGAGCACTGGAGCTCAGGGCTCTTGAGCGGTATGCCCTGTGGCCATAGGCTGTGGCGTGGCTGGGAGAAGCACCTGTGGGCATCACTCCAAACTCTGTCCTTTCCCCTCTGCACACTGGCTGTGCGAATACCTGTAATTAACGTCAAATCAAACAGACGGGTGCTGGATAGTAGAGTTTTCCTTTGTGTGCGAGACATTGTTTCCCCCGCATTTTGAGACGTCCTGCTGCTCTGCTATAAAAAAGCCTTTCTCCACCTCCAGGATCTTATCCTTTGAATAAGTTCTTTTTCAAATAATCGGAAAGTACTTTCTCCTTGAACCGAAATAACACCTTCCATATTTTTCTCATGTCTATCCCCAGGCCTTCAATTCTCTTCCCCAAGCAACCAGTTATTTCTTAAATGTCTTTCCAGATCTATTTCATGCTTTTATAAGCATTGTGTTTGTCTGTGTCTATGAAACAGGTACAAAAAGCAGCTTAGTAGATCACGGTCTGCACCTTACTATTTCTTGTGCTATCTTAAAGATATTCAATAGCAGTGCACATAAAAATCTCCTCGGTTCTTCTCAATGACCAGATGGTATTCCAAATGATGACCATGCCATAATTTAAGCCTCCTCACTGATACACAGTTAGGCTCTTTCCAGGTTTCTGGCCTTTTTTCTCCCTCATTTCAACAGTGTAGCAAAAAACATCTGTACAGTTTTTAAAAGATACCGGGGAGATATGCCATGTTTATTCAGCAGAAGACTCAATATTGTTAAGGCGTTAGTCTCCCCAAAAAGATCTCTAGACTCAACACAATTCTAATTAAAATCTCAGTAAGTATATTTTTTTCCAGAAATTGACAAACTGATTCTAAAATTTATATATGGAAACCTACAGGATCTCAAATAGCCCAGATAATTTCACAAAAGAAGAACAAGGCCTCCCACGATCTGATTTTAAGACTTCCTAGGAAGCTGTCATTGTCAGGACAGTGTGGCGTTATTGGTGAAAGAGTAGCTGGACGGAATGAACAGAATCAGGAGTCCACAAACAGACACCCAGCGCACAGACGCACACGGCCAATTGACATCTGACAAAGGTGACACGGTACTTCAATGGAGAGAGGACAGTCTTTTCAGCAGAGGTGCTGGGATTGTTGCACGCAGCTGTGCAAACAGACCGAACTTGGGTCTCATGCTGTGACAGGCATTAACTTGGAATGGGCCGTGTACCTACATGGAAGAACTCAGCAGGAGACACAGGAGAGATCTTCATGACCCTGAGCCAAGCAAAGATTTCTTCGAGAGGACATAAAAAGCATGAGCTATGAAAAAAAATTAATCAATTGGGCTTCATCAACATTTAAACCTCTGCTCTTCCAAAGCCACTGTCGTGAGAATGGGAAGACGAAGCCACAGACCGGGAGAAAATATTTTCAAAGCACACATCTGAGAGAGGACTTGTATCTAGAATATATGAAGAACTCTTGTAACTCAATAATGAGATGAACCACTCAACTTAAAAATGAGCAAAAGACACTTCACCAAAGAAGGTATATGGGTGGCAAATAAGCACATGAGAAGATGCTCAACATCATTAGTCATCAGGGAAATGCAAATTTAAACCTCCATGCGATACCACGACTCATCGACTAATGGCTGAATTGAATGGCTAAAATTAAAATGATTGACAATACCAAGTGTTGGTGAGGACGGGGGAGTAACTGGGAATCTCGCCCACTGTGGGAGGGAATGCAAAATGGAACAAACCAAATTGGAAAACACATTGGCAGTTTGTTATAAAGTAAAATATGCACTAACCAGCAATCCCGTGCCTGGGCACTCACCCAGGAGAAAGGGAAACACACGTCTACACCAAGACCTATAGAGACTGTCACGGTAGCTCTACCCATGACACCCCAAAACCCAGGCAAATCCATCAACTGGTGACCCGATGAACACAGTGGCGCACTCTTCAGCGATAACAAGAAACAAACCACTGATCTCGCACCGTCCCACGTGGGGATGAAACTCGGAAGCAGTGGGCCGAGGGGAAGAAGCCAGCCGAGGAAAAGCTGCACGCTGTGACTCCATTTACCGGACATCCTGGGAATGACAGAGCTGGCAGGACAGAAAGCAGATCAGCGTTCGCCGTGGGCTGGAGGTGGGGAGAGGGTGCTGACTTGAGGACAAAGGAAACGGCCTGTCGTCTTGAGGGCACCGGGGTCCTTGCCTCCGTCCATCTGCCAAACTCCAGAGCTGTGCACCGAAGAAGGAGGACTTTTGTACATAAGAAATCTGTACATAAATTAGCCTCAATAAACCCAGCTTAACATGAAAAAACTACTCATTTTCTTTTTTAGGAAGTAACAGCCTTATAAATGTCTAAAATTTGACAATAAAAATAAGAAGTCCAATTTAAAAAGACACAGTCACAAATTGCATGACAGAAGTCTGAACACGCGGTAAGACATACGCGTGGGAGAGGAGATGCCTGTGAGCGCCCAAAACGCTAATAAATTGTCATTGTCACCAAAGGAAAAAGACGGTGGTATTGTAAACCTTTTTCTGTTTTCCAAATTTCCTAGAATGTGATCACTTATCCTCGATCAAGATTATTTTTAAAAAACACACTTTAGGGGCGCCTGGGCGGCTCCGTCGTTAGGTGTCTGCCTTCGGCTCGGGTCATGATCCCGGGGTCCTGGGATCGAGCCCCGCATCGGGCTCCCTGCTCCGCGGGAAGCCTGCTTCTCCCTCTCCTGCTCCCCCTGCTTGTGTTCCCTCTCTCCTGCCTCTCTCTCTGTCAAATAAATAAATAAAATCTTTAAAAAAACTTTTAAAAAAATAAAAAACACACTTTAGGGGCGCCTGGGTGGCTCAGTCAGTTAAGCACCCAACTCTCCATCTCAGCTCGGGTCTTGATCTCAGGGTCGTGAGTTCAAGCCCCGAGATGGGCTCCACCTTGAGTGTGGAGCCTACTTAGAAAAGAAAAAAAAAAAAGAGTTTCATGGAAGGGAAAAGATCAAATGCTGATAGGTCAAGTCACATGAAGACTGAGAATTGATCCCTCAATTTAGTCAATGTGTATGATTTAACATGGTTCCTGCGGAGTGGTAGGGACGAAACTTGATGGGATTAAGCTCAAGAGAGATTAGAAAGAGTTTCTGGGAAAGGTCTTCTTTCTCCCTAGACGTGGAAGACAACCCATGGAGACCTTGGATATTCTGGCTGTCATCTTGAAAAACAAGCCCTACTCTGGGCTCTATGCCAGGCATGGAGCCTACTAAAAAAATAATAATTACAAAAATAAATGAAATAAAAATAAAAAACACACTTTAAAAACTTCCTTGAGTGACAGATACTACTAGAAAATAAATGGGACAGACATGGGTGGACTCTAGGACGAGACCCACGTGTTGGGCCTGATCCACTCGAGGGCGGAGAGGGAATCTGCCTGGGGGTCTGGAGACCCTTAGGCTACAGCTCAACATCCCGGGGCAGTTACTGGCTCTGGACCCAGTAAGTGAAGCCGAACCCCACACACGGGTCCATTCACCCCCGATCGGTCATGACAGTGCACCATGCCCCCGCAGCATAGGGAAACCAGCAAGAAAGCGCAGACCAGAAACGTTGGGGCTTTTGGCCCACCATGCAGCTCACGGACGAGATCCATGGGGGCAATGTTATGACGCCCCCCCACCCCAAGCACTGGGAGATCAGATTGTCTCCTAAGAGTTAAATTGTAGATTCGGCATCGATGCAGAGATGCCATCGTCCTGAAAAGAGACAGTGCAGAATTTGGCTGGAACCTGATTGAGGGCATCATGTTATTGGGAAAAATCACACAGGTGTCAGAAGGGAAGAAGAGGTGGGCAGGTGACGGCAAAGGGCCATCAAGGCAGAGGCAAGCGTGTGGGCAGACTGCCCAATGCTCTGGGAAGAAGCAGGAGGCCGGCAGGGCCCAGGGCCTCAGCACTCCCTGAGCAGCAACCCAGTTATCGCCGGCCCCATGTTCTTTCCCACGGAGGAGACTCTGCTGGGCCAAGGGTCAAGCATTAGCCTCTCTGGTGCTCACATTTCCTAGCAGACACGCATAACTTGGCAGCCTCTGGTGGACCCAATCCCTGCGAGCCGACCCCGAGGATGCAGACGCACTCGCGACATGATAGCAAAACCCGGCTTCTGGACCAGGGGCCTCCCCTGGGTACAGGGTCCCGCCACACCCAGACGGCGACTGGGCTGCTGGCCTCGTGCCCCATCGTCCCAACCATCAGCCAGGACGCCGCGAGCTTCCTGCATCTTCTAAACCGGTCTACACGCTACCAGCTGGTGTTTGGCATTTAGTTCAGTCGCTGAACTGGCCTGCAAGGCATAAGCGACACGGTACGTTATTTTTGCGATGTCCTGACCTTGCGTTAAGCTGCCTCAGACTTCCTTCTTCATAACTGTATGGTTGCAGATGGTGCGTCTCTGGTTACGCCCCTCACAGTAGCCCACGTGGGCAATGTGCTTTGAAGGCGGACCTCACTCCTCTGGGGCTGCAGTGTAGTTTTAGGGGGGGCGCTGAACCAGACTTCCCATTTCTTGTCGTTAGGGGTGTCGTGCGTGTGTGTGCATGTGTGTGGGTGTGTGTGTGGGGGGGGTGTGCGTGTGCACCTATTTTGCTAAAATATCCACCCAACCTTCCATGTGTGCATATTTTAGAAACATGATATTTTAGGGGGCTCCCCGACTGCTCAGTCGGTAGAGCATGTGACTCTTGACCTCGGGGTTGTGAGTTTGAGCCCCATGTTGGGTGCAGAGATTACTCAAAAATAAAATCTTAAAAAAATTAAAATAAAAAAAGAGAGTTTAAAAAAAGGTGTTCAAAAACATGATTTTTTTTTTTTCCCATTAGTCCGATGGGTGCCATCCAAATGGCCGAACTCTGGCCAGGCTCTGGAACCCCCGGTGGGGCGTGACTGTCACGGCCTTTTGGGGAAATACCTGCCAGGTCTGTGCATGTCCGTCCCCCAGAACTCCAGGCTATGCTAGAGAAGGCAATGCTATAGCGTAATATAAACTATAATACTCCTGGGCGTGGGTGCAGCCCTGCAGCGAAGTCAGACTGCGAGGAACCTCCCTGCCCCGGTGGGAAGTCTCCCCCAGACGCGGCCCGGCGGCGCACTCTGCGGTGGGGAAGGAAGGAATGACCAGTCGTCGCACTGAGATTTGGAAAGATCTCTGGGGCCTGTTGGCAAATGAGAAAAGGCACACAACAGTGTGTATGCAGCATGCTACCACGGCGCGTGTGTGCCTCGTCTGCGGGGGCTTTGTTTTGTTCTTTCTTCTTCATCACAGGACCAAAAAGGACCAGTGCCTCCTAGCTGTCCGAGCACCGGAGACCACGCTGCAGGGCTGACGAGAGTGGTTCATTCACTTCTTCTGCCCTCTGCCAGGCTCGGTGCCGGGTGCGGGGTGCCGTGAGCTGCCTCCGGAACCCGGCCACCGCATCTCAGTCCCCATCACCTAGGGCGGTTTGGGGAGTTGAGGCAGCACTGGGCCCGGAAGCCCCTGCGCCCGACTCCCTGCCCAAGCCACACAGGAGGGAGGGAGGGGCCTGGAGGAGGGCCCTCTTCCTTCCCCTGGCGGGGGGATTAAGACAGGATTGCGGTTGGAACGCGGCCCTCCCCAGAACAATGGCCCAGGGATGGTTTCCACACACAGGTGGTGAAAAGCAGAGCAGAGGGACACCCTTCTCTCCCGGAGATAAATACCCCTTTCTCCTTCTCCCACTGTTTGTCCTATCTTCCCAGGAAGCCTGAGCACAAAATCTTTGCTGCTCCCGGTACCGGTACCACAGAAAGTTTGAAAAGACTTAAGAATTGTTGAATGTTGGTGAACAATAGGGAGCTTTCACGGCGGAAGCTGAGGCTGTGGGGCCGCAGGTGCACCTCCTTTGTCCCAGCAGATCCAGCAGGAAGGGTGCTGTGGGCGCACCTGGTAGGAGGTGGGGCTGCAGCGGTCTGTGCGCCCACCTGTCACCCGGAGCTCCCGGCCCCCACCTCCGCGGTGCACCTGCAGGGCAGCCGGAGGCCCTCCCGGGTGTGCCCATACCTGAGCGCTTCCTGGATGGTCCTGTGAGCCTCGTCGCGATGCTTCATGCCCACCAGGCAGGTGGCCCACTGCTGCAGGATGCGCCTTTTCTCCATGTTGATGGCGTCTATCTCTGTGCAGGCCTGCGGTGGAGAGTCAGGGTTACGTGGAAGTTGGTCTAACCTCATTATGCTCAAGGCCCCAAGAGAATGTCTGAAAGCCCCAAATGTCCTGAGTCATCTCCTTTCCCTGTGTTACCCTTGCTTTTCTTACCACGCACCAGCAAAAGGAGACATGCGAAAATAAATACAGTTCTAAAGACGCATAGAAACGCCCACCTCACCCCTGACTCCGGGCCCCCAGGCGCTCAGTGCCATGGGGTCGAGGAGGAGAAGGTGTCTAGGAGTGACAGACACCCGTCGTACCCAGACCCCAGACGCCGGGGGTGGGAGGGTGTCACTGATTCTCACAATGAGTCCTGTCCACAGACTGGAGTTTCGGTCACAAGACATGGGTACAGCCTCTGTGCTTGACACCCCTTCCCGTAAGAGCCTGTGCTGTCGAGAATGACCTGGCAGCAACGTGGGAGCGTCTGCCAGGCCCTGGGGTGTGTGTGTGTGTATGTGTGTGTGTGTGTGCGCGCGCGCGCGCGCACGCCTGTGCATGCACGTGCGTAATCATATTCTCTATGTTGTTTTATAACCTGGAATTAAAAGTTAGCGTGTTGCGGGTGCCTGCGTGGCTCAGTCGTTAAGCGTCAGCCTTCGGCTCAGGTCATGATCTCAGGGTCCTGGGATCGAGTCCCGCATCGGGCTCCTGGCTCAGCGGGGAGCCTGCTTCTCCCTCTGACCCTCTCCCCTCTCATGCTGTTTCTCTCTTTCTCTCTCAAATAAATAAATAAATAAAATCTTTTAAAAAAATTAGCGTGTTGTGCCCAGGTTTTTAATGTAAAATATTTTTACTTGCATGCCTCTTCAGTAGTTTCCTCGGCATGAAGCCCAGGTGATATTCTGGGAGGGGGCAGGGGAGTTTTGGGAGGTGGGGGGGTGTAGGGGAGCACATGTGTTTTCGCTACCAGCCTGGGAATGCCACTCCCCTCTGCACTGGTCCCGGGCTATCAAGGGTTCCTCATCCGTTCATTCAGTGTCTCTGGTGCACCTGCTGTGCGCTGCTCCAGGTGCAGGAAGGAAAAACGAACAGGACATGGGGCGGCCCTGCCTGGCGGGGACACACCCAGCAGGGAGGGGCAGAAGGCACCGAGACACATAAGCTCGTGTGTGTGTCCACGACCATCCCGTGGTAGAACTGGACACGGGGTATTTCTTACCGATTTGCACAATCTCTTCCCACCACCGAACTCCCTGGTGGGTCTCCTGCCTTTTCGTTTTGTTGGCAGCACCCTCCACCTCCAGGCGCCGTGGCTGGTGTGCCCTGCCCCCATCAGCTCTGTTAGAGTGTCTGCTCTCCGCGCTAGGTTTAGAAAGGCCTCTGCAACTCTGGATTTAAAAAATATTTTTCTTGGGGTGTCTGGGTGGCTCAGTCGTTAGGCGTCTGCCTTCGGCTCGGGTCATGATCCCAGGGTCCTGGGATGGAGCCCCGCATCGGGCTCCCTGCTCCGCGGGAAGCCTGCTTTTCCCTCTCCCACTCCCCCTGCTTGTGTTCCTGCTCTCGCCGTGTCTCTCTCTGTCAAATGACTAAATAAAATCTTTTTTAAAAAAATATTTTTCTTGTATTTTCTTCCAGTACATTTTCCCCATTTACATTCTTGATCCCATCTGGAATTCATTTTCGTGTCTGGTATGAGGAAAAGATTTAATTTTTCCCCTAATGATTAACCAAATGTCCCTACTCCGTTGTGCATGATTCATGTGTTCTCCATTAATTTATAATCCACTCAAGTTTTATGTAAACGTTTGCTTCTTTTGGGGGTCTACTCGTAGGCTACCATGGTCCGCCTGTCTATCCCAGATTCCAGGGACACATCATTTCACATTCCAGGCTTTAGAGTGGGCAATATTTGGTAGGGCAACGCCAGGATGACCTGCCGGGCTGGTGTGTCTGGGACTCTCCTGCGTTTAGCACAGCAAGTCCCACATCTCAGGAGAGCCCTCCGTTCTGGGCAAAACCCGTTCTGAATTTCCCTTTCCCAAACAATTCCTGGCCAGTCTTCCAAATGTATGCTTCGGATAAACCTTTGCTAACTAAAAACTGCCTTTTTTCCCCCCTGAGATTCTAATCAGAACACATTCTAGACCCACAGGCTGGAGAGCCCGGGCCGCTTTCCCACACGGACCCAGGCGTGCCTGTCCGTTTGTGCAAGCGTTTTCTTTTCCCCAGTAACAGGGGCTTGTTTCCTTCGTGGCGTTCCTGCGCACACGAGTGCCGATGGTGAGTCACAGGTTAAAAAAATAAAAGAAGACGTGGCAGCGCTGGTTCCTAGAGTTGACCTCAGAACGTGGTGCTGCACTGAGTCCTTCCCGCCGGGGCTCAGCCTCGTGAGGGAGACAAGAGGCCACGCCCGCGAGGATCCGGCCGACGAGCAGACTCAGACGTCCAGCTTCGCGGAGGCCTGTCGGGCTACCACTGGCTGTGGGCCGAATAGAAACGGCCCGCTTCGCACCATCCCCACCATCCCAACCACGGGCCAGCCCGCTGCTGAGCTGCTTCAGGAGGCACACCGCGGCGGCGGGGGCCGCATTCACCTGGCCCTCAGCAGTGAGCCGGCGCCCTGCGGTGGCCACTAAGTGGGTGTCCCGAAGCCGAGTGCGGCGGTGATGCTCCTACCTCGCTCACGGCTTTCCTGAGAGCCCGCGTGTCCTCGGCCTGGGCACAGCTCTGAGCCTCCAGCAGCGCGATTTGCTCTTCCAGCTGGTTGGCTTTGGTGGTGAGCTGGTCCACGTGAAGGTCCTGGGAAACGAGACCACGGGCCCCTCCAGCATATTCCTCCACCAACTCCCAACCCAAGCCAGCGAACCCCAGGCCGGCCGCAGCCTCCTAGGCAAGAGGCCGAGCGGAGGGACTTTTGGGAAATCGAAGGTTTGAGGGTGGTGGCAAACGCGTTGAAGTTGAGAGTACCTGCTTCTTCTTCTCCACCTCGGCCCGCATCCGCTCCATCTCTGACTTCTTCACCACTTGCTTCATCACACGGATGTCGTCACGCACGTCCTGGTCTATGTTCTGCATGTAGAAGAGATGCAGAGCCAGGCTCTCCAACTCAGCTTGCAGAGCCGCCACTGGGGGGGGAGGACGAGGAAGGCCGCTCAGCATCCCACACACGTTGTCTCGGAACCCGAAGCTCCGGAAGGCTCCCTGCCTGCCCTGTGGACCCAGCCTGGGAACCTGCTGCTTCTAAACCACAAAGACTCAGACTTTGCCATCAAAGCCTTACAAGCCTAGTTGGAGAGACAAAGACGTAGGTAATCCATGTCCAGCGATCACCACAAGCCACTCCGTTGCCTGCCGTGTCTTAGAGGCCCTCCCCACGTCTAAGGATCTGCTGAGACAGTGTCATGCTATGAGGCCTCACGTTAGTCTTACAGATTTCTTACCGCTTAGACACTGGCAATCTTAGGTAGAGTCCCACAGTCCGGGAGGAAACCCGCCCAAAGGGGCGCTGCGCTCTGCCAGAGCCCCCCCCCCGCCCCCCCGGACTGAAATGGCCACGTGGGGGCGCAGGCCAGGAGCACCGGAGCTGTCCTCACGGGCCAGGCTCGCCAGCGCAGCACCTTCCACTCCCCACTCAGAGCCAGATGGCGGATTTCCGTCCAGCGCTCGGAGGAGACCACACCCCAAGGAATGGACTCCTTTTAACAATATTCACGGGAGATTGATTTATGAAGCCAGATTACCAATTCGTTTAGGGAGCTAACCCTAAATCAAGAGTCATTTTTGTCTTGCATAGAGCGTTCCTTTATAGGTGGTTAAATGCACACAGAACACTGATTTATAGAATAGAAATATAAATTCACCCCGCTGAGTGGCAGGCACCCTTGAAGGGTGTAGCTTAACCCTGAAACATTACTTTGCGCCCAAGGTAACTAAAAATTCCAACGCTGGCGACTTCTTTGGCTCCTGCGTGGGTAGGAACTATGGGGGGTGGGGAGCAGAAGCAGGGACAGGGAGGTGTTGTGGTCAGAGCAGGCCGGGGCGGAGACTGCATTTGGAGAGAGGGTCTTCACAGAGGTAATTAATGTAAAATGAGGTCGTGTGAGTGGACCTAACCCCTCGTGGCTGGTATCCTTAGGCGAGGAGATCAGGACGCAGACACACAAGGGACCACCAGCTGAGGCCCCGGGAGAGAGGCCTTGGGAGGAACCAGCGCTGCCCACGCCTGGCTCTTGGACCTCCAGCCCCCAGGACGCGAGAAAACAAGCCCCCACGGCCGCCGAGCTGACTAATTCACCCTCCCACCTAAAACGTGCAAGACTCACGTCGACCCTTCCTTAAGAGCGCTGAGTTCAACCCTGCTTTGCTTCACTGAGTAACAAAAAGTCAGTATTTCCAGTGCTTGTTTAAATCTGCATAAATATCAGTGAAGTTGAACCTAGTTTCACCGTTTTAATGACCATGTTTGTCCCTCCTCCAAATCGCTGGCTCATGTCCTTGGCCACACAGCTACTGGGACGTTTGCCTCTCACTGGGTGGCCTCTAGGAACTCTTGATGCGGTCAAGGCAGGGTGGGCAGAACTTGAAGATGCCTCCCAGGGCCTGTGCCACCTGCTGTGACTGCTATGATGATGTTGCTTATCTGTCCCAAGAGAAATTACCGGGTGGGCCTGGACTAAGCAGGTGAGTCCATCCAAAGCAGAGTGGTGTCCAGCTGGCGGCAAAAGAGGAAGTGAGAGAGATTCTCAGGGTGAACTGGATTCAATGAGAGGGAAATTCTCTGCAAAGCTGGCTCAAACAGGGGAGGGGCCCCACAGCAAGGGACGTGGGCGGCCTCCAGGAGCTGAGAACCGCCCCTGCAGACAGCCCCGAGAAGAAGCAGCCCGTCAGTCCTACAGCCCTGAGGAGCTGAATTCTGCCAAAGACATGAGCAAGGCTGGAGTCAGATTTTCCTGGGTCCTCCCAAGAGACCCAGCCAACCAGCACTAGGGTTTGGCTTCAGGATGCCCCCGAGGGGGGGCCCAGTCGGCCACGCCAGGCCTCTGACCTCAGGCTGTGTGGGCGTGCAGACACACGGGCTTGTGTTCAGCCCTGAAGTCTGTGGGAATTTGTTTCCTGGCAACGGAAAAGTAACACAGAACATATGGAGGTTGTCACAGATGCGCAAATGGGGTTTGCTCCCAACTTGTGTTTGTCTTTTAACTTCGTCATGCTTCTTGATAAGTTTTATGTTTTTGTATAAACAAAACTGTCAAACTCCTCCTCTGTGGCCTCGTACTTCACATCACGCTTCCGGAGACCCGCCTCAGACCAAGATGATTAACAACAACTACGGCAGCCTTACATACTCCTCTAAAGCTTCTGTGATTTTCTTAAATATTTACTGCAGACTTTATTTTTTGTATAGTGTGAAATAGCGGTCTAAGTATGCATTTTCAGATGGCCAAATGGTCAAGCAAATAGGTAGTGGCTTAAAGATGCAGTCTGTCCGTTTATTTAACCTGCAGAAAATGACTGGATGCCCACGTGAGTTCCCCAGCATCCTCTGCTCTCCACCATCCGTGTGCTTCTTCCCCTTTGGTGCCTTTCTGGTTTTACTGCTGTTGATTGATACCGTGTTTTGACACCTGATAAGACTATTTTCCTTCATTATCTTTCCTTTTCAAAATTTTCTTGGGTAGTCTTGTGCATTTAATCTCCCGAGTAAACTTTAAGATCAATTTGTGCAGGATGGGGAGCTTTTTACATATTGATGCAGGTCGGGAAGCAGGGACGCGGTGGGTACGGCACAAAGCTACTTGTTTAAAAAAAAGATACCCTTGTAACTTTGCTTTTATACGCAAAAACATCTTTAAAGAAACACATGAGAACCAATCCCCCGAGGGCCACACACACCCCCCCCCCCCCCCCCCCCCCACCCCGCCCCCCGGGGCCTCTGTGGAGGGTCCTGGGGGAAGGGGAGGCAGGAGACTTCCCATCCCAGAGCTCTTGACTTTTGAGTGATTACTTCTTGAAAATGAATAAATAGGGGCGCCTGGGTGGCTCAGTCTTTAAGCGTCTGCCTTCGACTCAGGTCATGGTCCCAGGATCCTGGGATTAAGCCCTGCATCGGGCTCCCTGCTCCACGGGAAGCCTACTTCTCCCTCTGCCACTCCCCCTGCTTGTGTTCCCTCTCCCGCTGTGTCTTTGTCAAATAAATAAACAAATAAAAATAAATAAAATCTTTAAAAATAAAATTAAAAAAAGAAAATGAATAAATAAACACCTATGTCAAATAAATTTAAGGTCACCCAAAATACCCCATCGTGGACTTCAGCTGGAATGGCACTGAACGGCATGTTGACTGGGACAGAGGTGACACGTCCGCATCGTGCAGTTTTCCTCCCAGTAACAAGGCAGCTTTACTTATTGAAATCTCTTTTATGTCCCGTAGCGAGATTTTATTGTTTTTCTCCGGATAGGCTCACTCACTTCTTGTTAGGTTTATTCTAGGTATTTTATGGTTGTTATAATCATGATGGATGAGATTTTTTTTTTTTGAAACAATTTAGTTCTTAACTGGATATTACCGGGAGAGGAGAAAGTGCTAGCTCTGACATTCACCTACTTTACTTTCTTTACTGTTTCTAGTACTGTTTTTTTTAAATTTTTAATTTTATTTATTTATTTATTAAGATTTTATTTATTTGAGAGAGAGAGCATGAGAACAGGGTGAGGGGCAGAGGGAGAAACAGACTCCCCGCTGAGCAGGGAGCCCGATGCGGGGCTCGATCCCAGGACCCCGGGACCGTGACCTGAGCCGAAGGCAGTCACTCAACCGACTGAGCCACCCAGGCGCCCTGGGTTTTTGGGGTTTTTTTTAATTATTATTGGTAATCTTGGATCTTCTAGGTAAACAATCATATGATTGGTAAAGCATGAGAATTTCACGTCCCAAATCCTCACCTCATTCATTTTGCCTGTTGGAGCCTCCGGGGCTGTGCCTGTGCCCTGGTGTCCCTCCTGACCCTATCTGTACCTTCTCCAATGTTTCCCACTCAGGACAGTTTTCTGGTTCGTTTCCAAAAACATCATAAAGAATGTTCTTTCTACCTTAGTTTAGGATGGATGGTAAGTGTTTTCAAACACCTGTTTTGCATCTACCCAGAAAATCCTTTGTTTTTCCCTCCCCTTTAACTTACTAATAGAATGCATTAAATGAGCAGCTTTCTTAATTTCAAATGATTCCTGAATTCCACCGGAACTCCACCCTTCTCTGTTTGCTACTAATTTATTTAGGATTATCTTGCCTTGCTGGTGGGATGGCTGTGCAGTTTCTGCGTTGAAGGCTGTCCGTATTTGCAGCCAGGGCTATCCTCCCCCTTGTAACACCAGCCTGGGAAGTTTCCCAGATTTCCCACCCTCTGGAGGGTTGGACAGCATCGGGGGAGGTGTCTGTTCCTTTCACAGTTGGGCGGACTCGTCCATAACGAACAAACTGGTACTTTCAGGGGAAATCGATGTCCGACAACGTTTTCAGTTTCTTCAGTGATGAACCCAGTACAGAGCATGGCCTTCTTGAAATGAAAACCAATAATGCCTCTGAACTGTCCTCATTCCCAGGGCTGCTACTTGCGGGACACCCTTTTTGTTCTTCCCCGGGCAGGCCAGAAGTTTACTCAGCGTGTTGGTCATTTCACAAACGGAGTATTTTTATCTGTCAGGCCAACTCGTTGTTTTTTTTTTTTTTGTACCAGTTGCAGCTATTTTACTTTATTAACTCCCTCTTCCTACCTCTTTTGTTTGTTTGTTTGTTTGTTTGCCTTTTTTCGGCCTCTGGAGTAGAATGTTTGATTTTCGGTCTTGTTAATGAAAACTATGCAAGGTCCTGGGTTTTACTGGAGTGCTTTCTGCGAAGCCAGAAGTCCTGATACATGGACTCCCTTTGCCACTAAATCCCTAACTAGTTGGTGATCTCTGTGCGGACGGGACTCTGTCCTTGTGCCTTACAATGTTCTGAGCATCACTACTCCGTCATTTATGTTTGAGACCTGTGATTCTCAGCCCCAACTGCACGTTAGAATAACCTGGAAGCCTTCAAAAAACAAAACAAAACAAAACAAAAAACCAAGGCAAGAAACACAAGATCGGGGCCTTGGCAGAACAGCTGAACAGGGGGGTGTGGGCCTGGCTGTATGCACCTCAGGGGCTCCTGCCAAGGACAGCATGTTGCTCTCCACCTGCCGCAGTCTGATTCTGTCTGGCCCAGAAGCCGGCAGCATTTTTTCCCTCAGCTTTGGAATTTAAAAATCTCACCAACTGTGCCTAGGCATGTTCATTCTGTTTTCCAGCTGTCGGGTCCTCCGAGCACCTTTATATTCGAAGACTCACCTTTCCTGAGCTCACGCAGATGTTCTCCTCTGGTGTCGCCCGTGAGCGCCCCTGATCTCCTGGGACTTCCGTCTGATGGGCGTCCACGGGCCCAGATCTCACACCCATGTCTTGTATCTCCTTCTCAAAACATCCACCGCTTGGGGTTTTCCCTCTGAGTTCGGGGAAGAACTCCTCAAACTGGCCTTTCGGTTTACAAGTTCAATTTTCGGCAGTATTGCTTTGTCTGTTTAGTGACTTTTGTTTTGTTCGTCTGGGAGGATGGTTATATATATATTTTTTAAAGATTTTATTTACTTGATAGAGAGAGACACAGCGAGAGAGGGAACACAAGCAGGGGGAGTGGGAGAGGGAGAAGCAGGCTCCCCGCGGAGCAGGGAGCCCGATGCGGGGCTCGAACCCAGGACCCCGGGATCATGACCTGAGCCAAAGGCAGACGCCTAACGACTGAGCCCCCCCAGGCGCCCCAGGATGGTTATATTTTTTAATTCCAAGTACCCTTTTTCCTAACACTGTGCTCTCGTTTTACTGATGGGACGTCCTCTACGATCTCACGCTCTCTTGTTTTTGGCGTCAGGCCTGTCTGTGCCTGTGGCCGCGTCAGCTTTGTCCATGCAGCCCCAACCCCTGCAGTCTGGGGGCGCTGCTGAGCACTCGCGTTTTGATGGGAAGTGTCAGTGACTCCCTCCCAGGGGAGGCACGCACTCGTGGACATTCTCCAGTGGCAAACACCCACGTTTCAGGGCAGTGGCAGCACCGAATTCCCTAGTGCTCGGAAGGAAGAAAGGGTAGTATTTCTGGAATCCTTGTTTGGTTGAACAGCTTCTGTTCCTGTGTCTTGGTGACCTCCAGAAAGGACGCAAAGTCCAAGAAGGTGTTGGCATCTCTCCAGAAGCCCGGCCACACTTGAGCCTTCACTGAGCGGCGCTGGTGTGGAGCACGTGGGGCGCCTGGGTCCTCTTTCAGGTCAGTCTAAATTCTGTCCCACCTGGAGCATTTTTATTGTTTTTGCATGAATGTCACGTTCTTCTCTTCTTGGTATTTTATGTTAATTTGGTGGAAATCAGGGAGGGTGCTTGATAAAGGAGCACTTAGTCTGACTCTGTCAGTCCAGAAAGTTCTGCATTTCTCGGGGTCTGAAATGTCTCTTTGCAGCCACAGTTAGAGTGTCCGTGTGCTTCTGTTTCCCGTGTACCTTGTTTTCCCCATTGTGGTAATCATACACGGCTGATAAACAAACTTGGGAACAAAAAACCCCCCAGACTGAAGTAATCACAGCAGAGTGCGCAAAGCGGGTATTCACGGGGCCCACAGCCTGGCCCTGTGCAGGGGGGCGTGTTCCTGGGCAGAGCCCTATTGTCTCATCTGGTCCGAAGCCTCCCGGTTTCACCAGGATCTGCCGTACAGTCGGGGCTGCCGCCATCCCCTGGGCCGTTGTGCTTGGGATTGGCCGCATCCGGGGGTCCCCGCTTATTTAAACCCTGCCCACCTCTGGCAGCCGGCCAGCCTCTTCGATGTTGACTCTGCCTGCCCTCCTTGTTCACTGCTTGACCCAATCAGGTGCCTTTTAATGCACTGACGCCTTCTCTCCCTAAAAGCCTGCGAACTCCCCGAGGACACGACCACATCGCCCTTTTCTCGATGCCCTGTGATGGCACGCAGGGATGCCTTTCCGGGGCGAGCTGGCCTGTGGGACCTCCCCGCGGGGGTGTGACAGCACGCGGGGACGCGCCCCTGGGTCGCGAGGGCACTTGGGGATCGGGGCGCCATGGCAACGGGGACCCCCAGCCTTACGCTTTTTGCGCTCCTTGTTGGCGGTCTCGCAGGTCCTGGCGTAGCGAAGGCGCACACTCTGAAGCTCCTCCTCCCTCTGCCGCCTGGCGCACGCTGCCACCGAGTGGAGGTCGTGGTTCTTCTCGAGCTGCATCTGCAGGCGGGCCAGGTGCTGCTGGACCCCGTAGAGATCCACGCCCAGCTCCTGGCGCTGCACGCGGCTTTGCTTGGTGGCCACACTCTGCGGGGGAGGGAGAAAAGTTGGTCACGGGCCGGAGGCACACGGCCGGGCGGGAGGCTGGACCGGCAGATACGCACCAGCTCTTGAAGTTCCAGTTTCAGCTTCTCTATCTGGCGGTTAAGATAGTTCTTCAGCGCAGCCTGGAACCTTACCATCAGGGGCTGAAACGACGGAGAAGCAAGCCTGGTTACCCTCCTGCCCAAGCAGGGCGCAGCCTAAGTCGCCAGAGCTCCCCCTGGGGGCACCGAAAGGACTTCCACGCTGGGTGCCCCTCACTTCGCCAGGGACTTGCGCCGGCAGCCATAGACTAAGGGCACTCAAGGTCCCGTCCCAGGCACCGAAGACCTGAGTACGCATTTTGGCAAAAAGACAGAGTGAGCTGGAGTGGTGGTCCTGGTTTCTCCCCAGGGATGCGGGGGTGATGCCAGCACCGAATGAGCCCTGAGCCTCTTTTTCCATAGCAACCGCCAATCTTTCCCGCGGGGAGCACCCCGGCTTTCCAAATGGGCTCATCCAATCAGGATTCGCCTTCCCCGCTTGCTGGAGGGTGGGGTGTGGGAACTCAGGTGGTGGGCTCCAAGCAGGGGCTCTGAACTGGGGTGACTGGGCTCCCACCCAGCATCCGGGATGTCTGGAGACATTCCTGGTTTCACGGCTAAGGGGCAGGGGTGCTCCTGGCATCTAGCAGGTGGGGCCAGGGGTGCTGCCCAGGACAGCCCCGCCCCAGAGACTGGGTGACCGGGTCCCAAATGTCGGCAGTGCCAAAGTTGAGGATTGCTGACTCTGGGCGAATGAAACAGAAAGAAGACACCTCACAGAGCAGTTTTGCCGAGTGGGCGAGGGGCGGCGCGGCGCTGGGGGCAGGGCGTGGGGCGCGGGGGCAGAGGTGAGCTCAACAGCAGGTGAAGGGGCACCTCTGATCGCGCTCCGTGTCAGGGCCCCAGCAGGGCCCGGGAGCACGTGCTTACGTGGTCGGGGTCCAGAACCACCAGCTGGTGTCTGTCTTCCTCGGCCTCGTCACTCCCCTCCGACTCCGTTCTCTCGACAGTCCCTTCTTCGGCGGTGCCCAGCTGCTGGATCCGGTCCAGGAAGGCCGGCGCGGCTCCTCTCCCCGGCTGCGCACCGGGCTCCTCTGGGGGGACACCTGGGGGCATAGCAAGCATTATGGAGGGGTTATTGCAGTGGCTAGTGAGGCCACTTTGCAGGTGCTGTCAGGAGAGGCTGATTTGCAGCCTCATGCAACACAATGGAAAAGAGAAAGAAAAGGCATCCCATGGGTTGGGGCTCGGAAATGCTGCTTACAGTGTCTTCTGTTCATGAATCTTCTATTCGTTGGTTCAACATGTTCCATAGAAGGGATCGCATTTTAAAGGTAATACATATTACCTTTAATATACTCCAAGAAGGAAATATATTTTGTAGATACTTTTTTAGACATAAATAGTGAATAGGAAGGTGCCTTCTTACTCATGGACTACCTTGATTTTTTTTTTTTTTATGGGAAACAGCTGATAAGATTGACAAGCTGTATCAGTGAGGCTCTAGTTGCAGCTTCCCCTGTCCTCCTGAGCTGGAGAGATCCTGTTCTGTTTTAACGAGTTTAAAAACTCGTTCGGATGTGTGCTGTCTTCACCTCACTGGTGAGTGATGTACAACTTTGTTAGTTGCACCATCCATGCTTGTGTATCATAAGGAAGAAGAAATACCCCGGTCTGCTTTCCCACATCCACAACAGTGGGATATGGGACAGGGTGTGCCGAGCGACCCTTGGAGACTCAGCAAACACGCAGGCTTAGGGGTGTTGTTCCCGAGCCCCTCTCTGAGACCAGGAGGCAGTGAGGGGTGGCGGTCGGGGGCTGTGGTTTGGACGTCATCAGATCTCTCAGTCAAGGTCTGGTTCTGCCACATACTCGGGTAGGTCACTAAGTGACTCTTAGAGTCTTTGTAAAATGGGAGAATGGTTCCTACCTCATTGGGTTACTATAAGGATTAAATGAGATAAAACACAGTGAATGCTCCGTAAATATTATCCCTATTTGTTAATAACATTTCTATCCTTCAGCTCCCAGCTGAATGGGAAACGAGGTAACAGAGGGTGAATGAGTGGTACCCCTTGCACAGAAGGAGATGTGAAGGGGCTCATCCCGTGGGCAGGACAACCCAGCAGGTGCCACGGTACCTAGCTCCTGGATGAAGGGCTCCTCCGTGCTCAAGAGCAGCTCGTCAAAGTCTGAGGAGGTGATGCTGCTCCCCGGGCTCAGTCGGAGGTGGTGTCGTGCCCCCAGAGGAAAGACTTCCTGCTGGAGCCCTTCACCGGATTTTTTCTAGAGGAAGAACAACCAAACCTAAATCAATGAGGCCTTAATCAGGACTGAAAAGTTATTTGATTTTGATCTAGTGCAATGTTCGAAATTCAACATAATTGCTGAAGCAGTGGAAAACAATTTGGAGGGGCGCCTGGGTGACTCCGTCGGTTAGGCGTCTGCCTTCAGCTCTGTCATGATCCCAGGGTCCTGGGATCGAGCCCCGCCTCGGGCTCCCTGCTCAGAGGGAAGCCTGCTTCTCCCTCTCCCGCTCCCCCTGCTTGTGTTCCCTTTCTCGCTGTGTCTCTCTCTGTCAAATAAATAAATAAAATCTTAAAAAAAAAAAAAAAAAGAACATAGCTTCTCTTGTTAAAAATGCCTGGCTCCATTTAAGCTTTAAAAGAGACTCTTGCAGTTATTACTGTTGACAATAATTATTGCTGATGATGATCTGGCAAGGATTAGCAACAACAATGACCCTGCATAACACTCTGTGAGGTAGATATGAGTCACCTCTGTTATCTGAGGGGAAGCAGCCTCACGGAAGCTAAAGACCTTGCCTGAAGTTCACACATGCAGCCAAGGGCAGGTTCAGAGTTGGGATGCCTCAACCCGAAGCTCGTGCTCTTTCTAATACTTCCTCAGATGATGCTGATTCTAGAAACCATCTCTGAGGCGGCCAGAACTGTAATGATAGTAATGGGGGCCCAGAGTCACAAGCCCACCTCTGGGGTGTCCAGAAAGGGCTTCTCCTACCAAGAAATCGATGAGGCACCCACACGCCGAGACACAGAGCAGCTCCCACTCTGCAATTCCTGTTCTTTCTAAGGACTGAGCACCAGGCGGGAGGAAGGGAAATGGGGCTCTCACTCAGGTGTGTCTCTGCCTTTCTGATTGATCACATTTGGAAACTGTTTCCTGGTAACTTTTCTAGAAATGGGACCCGAGGATGGAAACTGGGTTTATAGCTCAATAAGTGACTTACACCCCAAATCGCCTGGACATCTTACAAGGTGAAGACAGTTGTTTTCTGAGCTTAATTAGTGATCATCAAATCATGTTACTCTCCAAGGTTATTAACTCTTTAGGGGTCACCAGGTGGGGTGGGATTGTGGCTTTTTGGTTCAGAATGGTGGCTGTGGAACAAGAGCCACACGGCTGCATGACTCTGGGCAGGGAAGGCCATCTCCCCATGTCCTCATCTGTCCAGGGGGGTAATAACTGTTCTCACCCCAGAGGGCTGTTGTCAGTCACTGAGACGGAATGTCAAGGGCAAAGGCATGTCCAGACCAGAGTCGAAGATGGAGGAACGTAACCCTGCTCCTCGCTTTCTTTCCAGATCAACTCAAACCTGCAGCCAGCAGTGGGGGGAGAGGAGAGCAGGCTTCAGAGGCCGTCCCCGTGGGGAGCCCTCACAGCATAGGTGCCGGGCCTGGTGACCAGAGTCCCCACAGAGGACAGCCTGGCACAGTCAGAGCCCAAATATTTGGGGGCTGGCCTGGGTGGGGTTGGCCCAACAGTGACGAGAGTGACCAGGGCAGCCCAGGGTGGGGGTGTCCGGGTTCAGGTGGGGTGAGGACAGTCCACGTGGGGGTGGAGAAATGCAGAGAAGGTTATCTCCGGGGGATGGACCAAATTAATAAATACGTTAGGGAGAATGGGGACTAGCCTTCTCGTTGCTGGAAAAAGGACTTGGAAATATGGAAGGGGAGGGCACTGAGAGGGACCCACTCAGAGAGGGCTTGGTGTGAGCTGTGTCTGTAGGCGGCGCATGCAGTGTGTGCGGTGTGTGTGTGTGTGTGTGTGTGTGTGTGTCATGTGCGTATGATACTGAGAGAGCCTGGGGACAGTGGACCTCGCGCCCAAATCATGACTTCCGAATTTTATTTTCCACGAAAAGAAACCAGGCTCCCGGAGAAATGTCTGATTCCAGGGCTGGGCACTCTGTGCCAGAGAATGAGAAAGTGCTCCATGGATGAGGGCGGTTAAAAGAAAGAATGATACCCGTGTGTCAGAAGGACACAAAGGCCAATTTAAATGGGCTCTCACCGGCCAAACTGGGGACAATTTCTATTCAGTGTTGTATTGGAAGTTCTAGCCAGTGCGAGAAGGCAAGAAAAAGATATAAAGGGCATCCAGATTGGGAAGGAAGAAGCTGAACCGCCTTTATTCGCAGAGAACATGATCATCTTTATGAAAAATCCTATGATTCCACACACAAAAAAAAAAGCTACTAGAACTAACAAGGGTGTTTCGCAGTGTTGCTGAATATAAGATCAATATGAAAAAATCAGTTGTGTTACCATATACAGTACCGCAGCAAACAGCTGGAAGCCATTTCCAATAGCATCAAAAATGCAAAATAGCTAGGGACAAATCTGACAAAAGATGGGCCTATACACCCTGCTCAGAGAAAGATGAACTCCTAGCAATATGGTGGTAATCTGTTGTGATTTGAAATACTCACGTTTCCTATCTTAACCAAAAAGAGCACCTTCCCACACCATTTTTCTTAAATGCAAAGGGGTGGAGGAAAACCTCCCAGTGGAGAAGCCTTGCGCTTTTCATTAAGGGGTCCACAGCACCATCACTGGTCATGGGACAAACTACAATCAGTGCACCACCGCATGGGGCTTAAGGAGAACCAGCCTCCCTCTGTGACCCCTTTCCAAGGAATCATAACCCAGATCACAACAAGAGGAGGACCAGGCAAATCCAAACTGAGAGCCATTTTAAAGGTGGCTGGCTGGTGAGCTTTGGAAGTGCCAAGGTCATTAAAGTCCAGGAAGGATTAAGACCTAAGAGATGGGACAGCTAAAGGCAACATGTGATTTGGAACTGTACCTCTGCTCTGAAAGGTGTCACTGGGACACCTGGTGAACGAGGCCTGAGCATTATTTGGTAATATAACGACATTTCCTGAGTTTGATAGCTGTATTTCGGTTGTTTGGGAAACACGCACGGAAGTTGGTGGCAGTGGGCGCATCCGATGGTTGACTTACTCTCCAAGGCTTAAAAAAATAACAAGTTCTTCTAATCATACTTCAACTCTTCTATAAGCCTATGCTCGTTTAAAAATTAAAAAAAAAATTGTAAGACCATAACTACTGTCATTATAATCATGATTATCTAGAATTACATTGTCCAGTACGGTAGCCACTAGTAACTGGTGGTTATATAAATTTAAATTAATTAGAATTCTCATTAAAAATTCAGTTCCTCCATCTCCCAGGCCACATTTCAAGTGCTCTGTAGCCCCTTGTGACTGATGGCTGCCATGTTGGACAGCAAAGGTAAAGAGCACTTCCATCACCATGGAAAGTTTCACTGGACGGCCCTGTTCTGCAAACCAGAAACCTGGATGCCCTTACATGGAATGTTCCCAAACCCAAGGTCCAGAAACTTTTGGCATTCAAGAGTGGGTCCTAAGACTTAACTTTGCTAAGAAATTTCTAACAGAGATTGCAATTTGTTTTTATAATGTGCCCCGAGTTGCTCACATAGGGTGGCAAACCACAAAGGCAGTCAAACACTTTCATAAAGTTGACCTCGGGGCCACTTACCGATCTGCTAGCCCTGGGTCTAGAAGCGTCCTGGCCTATTTGCTCTGATGAGTCTACTATTTGCCGGGATGGCTGTGTGGAGATGTCCCCCAAATCTCTGGATTCCGATGGACGGGGGGCTTCTCTGTCTTCAGGAACACCTTCCCTCCCTCCATGCTCATCTGGGTACGTGGGGCCCGCTTCCTCTTGGGGCACCGCCCCAGCACCGACTTCTGAATAAGCCAGATCTACAGAACCGACTTTCCCTTCAGGGGAGGCGGCTTCCACATCAGATTCGAATTCCCCTTCAAATTCAAATTCGACTTCATCCCCTTCAAATTCAAATTCCTCTTCCCTTTCTACTTCTCCACTGATTTCCACTTCTCTATCAATTTCCACTTCTCCCTCCGTTTCCACTTCTCCCTCAGTTTCGATTTCTCCTTCAGTTGTGACTTCCCCAGAGGCTTCAATTTCCCCTTCAGAAAGCTCGGCAGCACCAACAGCCTGGTCAATGTTTTGGTCACCGGTCTTCCCTGTGGGTGACGCCTGCAGATTTGTGGCAGGAAGAAAAAAAATCAGGAAACACAGTCAAAAACTCCCGGGAAGTTCTGCTCGTAATTGTGTAATTATACTGGTGGGAAAACTGCATCTGCACACACCTACGTGTCCCTGGAAGACGAAGCTCCATGTTCTATCTGTTCTCTCCAGTGTTTGTAATTTTTTGCATCCTTTGTTAGAGAACCTGAGTTCTGAAAACCTCGGGGTGATCTGAGTAGGGGATGCGGGGCATCCCAACTAGCCGCCAGCACTTAAGAATGGGGAGAAAGGAAAATGAGTCTCTCTGCAGGGGGACTGAGTCTGTTCTAGTGCAAGGTATAGGATCCCCGTGCAGTTTTCTTGAGCAGAGCTCTTAACTCTTTAATTCCCAGTAAAGACAAGCCGAGCACAGCCCACCCCACAGGGAACTTTACCCTGTCGCCTTCATTATTCCGGGCCTCCTCTCCTGCAGAAGTCGATTCGCCTTCCAGCTGAGACCTGCGTGCAGAAATACAGTTTAACAGTTTCAAAGAACAGTGTTCTTTTTCTTGGCATTGATCACCTCCTGGTGTCTGTCTATATTCTTATTTACTTGTTGATTATATGCCTTCCCTCTAGGCTGTTGGCCATGACTTTGTCATGTTTGCCATCAACCCCAGCACTAGATCATGCCTGTCACCTGGAGGGAGGGAGCGTCACAAAAGAGTTGTTCCATGAATGAATGAAAAATAATTATGGAAATATTCAGGGAACAGCATCAGTACATTACAACAGAAAAGTCACCTTAAATATACTTGTGTCTGGGGCCAAACTGGGGAAAAGAAATACAGTGTAAGAGAAAGTTGCACAAAAGGGACAAAGACTCTTAGAGACTCTTGGTTAGTTCCCCCATGATTTAGATAGTACAAAAACGTCATGATTTACATTCTTAAAATTATTTTTTTCTAATTAAAAATACAAGCTCATTTTTTCAAAAAAAAAGTGAAATACAGAAATGTGTGACACAGAGAACGAAAATCCTCTGTGACTTTCTCTCTTCTCAAGATAACCACTAGTAATAAAAGAGATTTAAGGATATATTCTTGCAAATATTTTTCTATGCATTTAAACACACACACACACACACACACAATTAGAGGCCACACTCTACATACTGCTTTCCATTTAGTCTTTTCTTTTAATGTAACCTGGACTGCTTTCCATGTCAGTATATATAAATCTATCTTTTAAAAAAAGTGAAACACTACTGAAGCGTCTGAGATAAAAGGCCCAATTCTTGAAAATAGTTTCTGTCCCCAGCCCAGCCCCCGCTCCTGGAGGTCTGGGGGTGGCAGGGGAAGGGTCGGGGTCCCCGCGGCCAGGAAGCCTCTCGGTGATCCTCCGCACACAGAGAGACCTCAGGCAGGTAGAGATCCTTGCCACCAGCCTCCGCGCTCTCCTGCTTTATTTACAAGGACGCAAACTACCCGCGCAGGCACCACGGAGCATAGTGGTTGCCATGGTTACTGCGGGACGAGCAAGCCCCGGGGTTTCGAGAGCCCAGCGACCCGAGCGAGGGGAGAGAGGGAGGGGACCGGGAGCTGACAAAGGGACGGGAGACGAGAAGGGGCGCGGAGGGCTGGGGGTGGCCAGGGAGGCGCGAAAGGCCGGAAGGGCGAGGATGGACGGGGCAGAGGAGCGGGGAAAAGGGCGTGAGGGCAAGGGGGAGGCGTGGGGGACGCTTCGAGACCCGGGACCCTCGCCCCGCTTACCCGCCGTCCTGGCCACCCGGCTCCGCCATGTCCCGTTGCTAGGCGACGCCGTCAACATCCGGCGGGCGGGAACCCCGCGCGGGGCTGGAGCCGGCGGCGCGGCGGCGCGGCCTTTGTGCCACCGCGGTGCACGCAGAGCACCTACATGTATAAATACATTAAAACATAAACTTAGTTTCTCCGTCTCTAAGTCCGAGTTCTGTCCCGCCTGGCTCAGGTTCAGTGAAGCGACAACAGTGTCCACGAGCGTCCAGCCAGGCAACTCAAATGCCTCAGGGACCGCGCCGGGCACCCGGGGACCCGAGACCGCTCAGTGCCCCGAAGGTGGCAGGCGGAGGGGGGGGCGCGGGGGGCCCCGGGGCCCCCTGCCCCTGGGGGGGGGGGCGCGGGGGCCCCAGCCTGGTGCCCATCCATCCATCTCCAGACCTGGGGCGGGGGTGCTCGGCGTCCCCTCCGCGGGGGTGCGGCGAAGAATCCTTGGCGGAGAAGGATGCTCAGTGGCTTTTTGGAGGGTGATGATCACTTCTTACCCCCACATAGAGGAAAAATATAAATGGAGAGGGCAGAACAGCGAGGGCGAGCGCGCACTTGGAGCGTCCCGGGGGTCCTGTCTTCACAGGGGGGGGCGCGGGGGGCGCGGGGCTGCCATCAGGGCCAGAGTCCTGGGACCCGGAATTAGGACGGCCTGGGGCGGGGGACTCGAGTCCCGAGGGCGAAAGGTGACTGGGGCAGGGTCGGGGCGAAGCAAGGGGTTGGGGGGAGAGGGTTCGGCGGGGAACCGGGCTGGGCCCGGCGCCGGGTTGGGATACGGGTTGGGTGGGGTGGGGGGGAAGGCGGGGTCTGGGTTGGGGGCCGGGTTGGGCCGGTTGGGCAGGGTCCGGGTCCAGGTCCGGGGCCGGGTTGGGGTCCGGGTTGCAACAGGGGTGGGGCTAGGCCCGAGGCCGGGCTGGGGTCCGGGGCCGGGTTGAGGTCCCGGCTGGGCCAGGGGCCGGGTTAGGGGCCGGGTTAGGGGCCGGGGCGGGCCGGGGGCCGGGCCTCGCCGCGTGTCCCCGCCCCGCTGCGCCTCACTGGCGGCAGCGGCGGCTGCGGCGGCGGCGGCGGCGGAGGAGGCTCCGGGAGCCGGCGCGAATCCGGCCCCCGCTGCGGGACCCGGGTGGGTATCGGGGTCCGGGCGGGGGCCGCGGGGGCGAGGTCCAAGGGGTCAGCGGGGGAGCGGGCGGCGCCCCCTCAGCTGGGACCGGGTGGGGGTGCGCGCTGGGCTCTGGGCCTGCAGCGACGGGGCCCGGGAGGGGCCGGGGTCCGGCCGCAGCCCCAGGAGGCGCGGGGCCGGGGCAGGAGCGGGGCGGCGTGGGAGCACACGGGATCACGCAGAAGCCCCCCGGGGACCCCCTCCGCGGCGGGTGCGGGCGCCCCGGGCCGGGAGTGGACCTGATTCGGGGAGACTCCCTCCCCGCGTGTGTGGAGCCGTGGACCGTAGAACTTGCGGTCTTTGTCTGGCTGGATCGTCAGAGCACGCCAAGGAGAACTTGCGGGGGGCCGCCGTTTGCAGACACAGCCCCCCGAAGTGTGCTTCCCGGCTCGGCAGCGCGCGCGCTCTCAGCATTGCTGGGCCTTAGGGTCGGTGGTCTGGTTGTAAAGAACCGCACGTCAGGAAACTCACTTCCTTTAGGCCCGGCCGTTCCCCCTTGTCCTCTGCTTAAAAGAAGAAAGAAAGAGTAGAAAAAAGGAGAAAGAAAAAAAAATAGGCAATTTAAGATTGCTAAATATAACCTCAGGAACCCTGCCAGAAGCCGGGGCATCTTGAAATCCTGTTATTCCCACACTCGGAAGTTGGTGTCATATGTTGGCCACAATCTAGTTCAGATTCTATTTGGAGATGGAAAACAACATAATATGTTGTTGCTCCCCACTCCGAAGTTTGTTTTCCTGCCCCACCAAGTTCCTAGGAGAAGCTGGGCTGGTCTCCCCCCCTTCCCCCCTGGTTTTACCGATCTCTCTTTACCACGGGAAGGCCCCAGTTCTTGCATCTGGAAGGAAGCGAGACATGGTTCTCAAAAATGGCCATGTGGGGAAGCCTATTATCAAAGGGTGGCTGCAGAAGGCCAGATCCCAGAAATCTGTTCCCAATCTGCCACTGATTGATTTAGAGAACTTTTAGAAATCTGTGTTGTTAGGTTTAGAAATTCCTTGGTAGAAATATTAATGGATGAGTGACTACTGAAGGCTTTGAAGAACCACGAAAACTTTTGCAAAGACAGGATTATTGAAGTAGGGGTTGCCTTGTAGTAGTAACTGGGGAATTCACGTAAGTTGCCCATTGTCGGTACTGGGAGACACATGGATGCTGAATGCGTTTATTATGTTTTCTGTGCCATTTGTTGGCTTGTGGAGTGTTGATGGTGAGCAGAATCTCAAAGTATGGCTAAAAAAGTTCTTATCAGTGGAATTTTAAAATCCTCCAGCGATGATGGTTGTTGTGTACATACTTTTTGATTATTATGCATGAATTCACTTAACGCCCAAAACAAGCCCATAAAGTCAGGACTGAGGTTATCCCCATTTTACAGATGGGAACCCTGAGCCTTAGAGAAGTAAATTCCCCAAGCTCATGCACCTAGGACAGAACCAAGTTCACGCATCCTCAGGCCCAGGACGCTCCAGCCCCAGAAACGGCTGTGCGTACCGCCTCCTACCTGGTAAGGGGTGCCTGCCATTTGCGTGCACACACTCTTCCTGACCCTCTTTTTGCAGACGGTTCATTCGCCTGACGATTCATAAAAAAGCAAGAGAGTAGGGACTAATCCCATGTCACGCACTGGCTGCTAATATCAGTTCTCTTTTGTCCAGAAGGAGCCTCTCAGGCCTCGTATAAAAGCGTTTGATAAGACGGCCATTGGGTTTCTGGAGCCTACCTGCTTGCCCCAGTCTCTCTGCCCTGGTTTGGGGTGGCTCTGTGCAGTGGTTAAAAACGTGGCCCCCAAAGTAAACCGCCGGGTTCAAATACCAACCCTGGTACGCAGCACCAATTTCATTCCTGGGTGCCTTAGCTTCTCCGTCTGTACGGTGAAGATAGTTCTACCTACCTCAAAGGCAATGGTCATCCGAAGCACCTAGTGCCTGGCACATACCAAGCGTTAACATTTTTTTTAAAAAATTTTATTAATGACCATCATTTGGATTGTTCACGGTTAGCAAATTGGTAAAAACATTTTGATTTTATTTCCTAATTCCTTGTATGTGGTATGTGTGGTCCGTCAGGTGGCAGGCTGCTCTGTGCAGAAGTAGAATTCACCGTTTAGGGATAGGGACACGCTCTGCCTTGGAACCTGCGGGTCGCTGGGTCCCGGCAGGCTGTTCCCGGGACCAGGGTGACCGGGTTGTCTGGAAACACAGGTCTCAAGTAGAGATTTGGCCACTGCCCCTCCTCCCCAGCTGAGGGACCCCAAATTTTTCACAGGCCTGAGTCTTCTCTCATGTAAGATTAGCCAGGTCGTTTCATACCGTGGGGCAGCGTGAGGAGGGCAGCGTGGGAAGGACGGATGGACTTGCGGCTCCACAGTGAAGCAACTGTAGCAGCTGGGGCCCAGGTGGGTTTTACTGATGTACATTGTATTGTACATCATTCTGTTATATTTGTACAATACTGATGATTGTTGATGAGCCCCATGCACAGAAAAGAAAGCACAAGTCTGCAGTCTCCCCAGCCCCTGAATTCAGGGAAATGGTCTAGGAGACCTTTTTCCTTTCACTTCAGTGGTATTTTTTTTAAGGTTTTTATTTATTTATTCATGAGAGACAGAGAGAGAGAGAGAGAGAGAGAGAGAGAGAGAGAGAGGCAAGAGGGAGAAGCAGACTCCCTGGATTCAGGACTCGACGGGATCATGACCTGGGCCGAAGGCAGATGCTTAACGACTGAGCCACCCAGGTGCCCAGTAGTGGTGTTTTTTGCTGTTGACCACCTGTGCGTCCTTCGGCACTGGGTCTTGCATCTCTAATAAATCTATTTTGATGAGCTGTCTGGTGATATCTTAGCCGAAGCATGTCTTTTACTATGTCTTCAGAACTAATATAGCCATCCTCAGGGAGGAGCAAGGTCTGGCCACTTGAAGACAGAACGTGATGCTCCCAAAGCCGTCATCCAGCCAGGATGGCATGCCCTTCTCTTGCTGAGCCTTGGGTGGCCAGTCTGTCCAGGTGTTTAAAGTTAATATATGTGACAAGCCACCCATAGGGACCCACCTGCCTGCAGGTACCCGGGTGAGGCAGTGTCTTTTCCATGCTCTTTCTGGATTGCCCACTGTAGAAACCACCATAATAGGGGTGCAGCCCCAGCCCGTGTCTGCACTAGCTTGTATACTTTGGTTTTTGTGCTGGTTTTCCACACTGAGTGACCCTGAATTCAATAGTCTGACAAACTGGTCATTACACTCTTTGTCTGAAATTGGGGCAAAGGGCATTCTTAACAGATGTCATTTCACACTCTTTCACTTTTCAGTTTCTGTAACTAAAAAGTTTTCCCCCGGAGCAAGATCAACTGTGTTGTTTTTCAGGGATATTGTCAATATATCCCCCACCCCCCGACCCCCCATTGGATTTTTGTTTTGTGGTGCCTTAGCTTCTCCTTTACCATAGACGGAGAACCTCAGCTCTCTGTATTAGAGTTTACAGGAACAGTATCGACATCAGGTGCACCTAACCCACTGTTGGGTCGGTTGGTGGCTTCCTGGCTGGATTTGTACGTTTCCTTGCTTTTTGGGTCCAGTCCTTCCTTGTTCCTCATTCCTAGCTCATCTCTAAGGTCAGTTTCATCTCCCAGGCCCTACTTCCTCAGCTCTTTGGGGAAAAAATAGTGTTTTGGTATTTACTGTCAAGGGGGCACAAAGAGTGAATGGTCTCCTGCTTGAGAGGCAGAGACCTTGGGGTTTTCCAGGGAGTAGGTGATCATCAAAGCGGCAGCTGGACAGCCAAAAGAGGGAAGTCACAGTGAAGCTGGCCACCAACTCCCCCCCACGGTCCTGTGACTGTCTTGTCCTTATGGCCTCTCAAAGGTCCTTTCCCGGAGGGCGATCGGTCCAAGCCTCCAGCACTGGGTTTATGCCCTACACT